TTTCTACCTATTCATTATACAGGGTCTCGTCAGATAGTTTCCTTTCTACCTATTTATTATACATGGTGTTGCTAGATAGTTTCCTTTCTACCTATTCATTATACAGGGTGTCGTCAGATAGTTTCCTTTCTACCTATTCATTATACAAGGTGTCGTCAGATAGTTTCCTTTCTGCCTATTCATTATACAAGGTGTCGTCAGATAGTTTCCTTTCTACCTTTTCATTATACAGGGTGTTGTCAGATAGTTTCCTTTCTAACAATTTCTTATACAGGGTGTCGCTAGATAGTTTCCTTTCTACTAATTCATTATACAGGGTGTCGTCAGATAGTTTCCTTTCTACCTATTCATTATACAAGGTGTCGTCAGATAGTTTCCTTTCTACCTATTTATTATACAAGATGTCGCCAGATAGTTTCCTCTATTCATTATACAGGGTGTCGTCAGATAGTTTCCTTTCTACCTATTCATTATACAAGGTGTCGTCAGATAGTTTCCTTTCTACCTATTCATTATACAAGATGTCGCCAGATAGTTTCCTCTATTCATTATACAGGGTGTCGTCAGATAGTTTACTTTCTACCTATTCACTATACAGGGTGTCGTCAGATAGTTTACTTTCCACCTATTCATTATACAGGGTGTCGTCAGATAGTTTCATTTCTACCAATTTCTTATACAGGGTGTCGCTAGATAGTTTCCTTTCTAGTAATTCATTATACAGGGTGTCGCAGGATATTTTCCTCTTTACCAATTGATCTAAACGGGAGTCCCGAGAATGTTTCCTTTCTACCAATTCACTATACAGGGTGTCACCAGACTGTTTCCTCTATTCCTCTACAGGGTGTCACCAGAAATTTGCTTTCTTTCCATTCATACACAGGGCCAGTGTCACCAGAAACCTTCGTTTTTAAAGGGTATTACAAAAAAATCCTTTCTACTAATTTATCTGTAGAGTGTCTTTATTTCCATTCATAAATAGGGTGTCACCGGAAAGTTTAATCCACCAATTGACCTGAAGGGCGGCACAAGAAAATTTTCATCTTGTTAATTTTCAGGGCGAACAGAATGTTTCATATTCATTGTGTGTCAACAGTAAATTTCCATTTCTCTCCATTCATCTCGTGTAAAGTTCTCTCCATTCATCTCTGTAAAGTTCTCTCCATATTCATCCTGTGTAAAGTTCTCTCCATATTCATCTCGTGTAAAGTTCTCTCCATATTCATCTCGTGTAAAGTTCTCTCCATTCATCTCGTGTAAAGTTCTCTCCATTCATCTCGTGTAAAGTTCTCTCCATATTCATCTCGTGTAAGGTTCTCTCCATATTCATCTCGTGTAAAATTCTCTCCATATTCATCTTGTGTAAGGTTCTCTCCATATTCATCTCGTGTACGGTTCTCTCCATATTCATCTCGTGTAAGGTTCTCTCCATATTCATCTCGTGTAAGGTTCTCTCCATATTCATCTCGTGTACGGTTCTCTCCATATTCATCTCGTGTAAGGTTCTCTCCATATTCATCTCGTGTAAGGTTCTCTCCATATTCATCTCGTGTAAAGTTCTCTCCATATTCATCTCGTGTAAGGTTCTCTCCATATTCATCTCTGTAAAGTTCTCTCCATATTCATCTCGTGTAAAGTTCTCTCCATATTCATCTCGTGTTAAATTCTTTTCGTATTCATCTCGTGTAAAGTTCTCTCCATTCATTTCGTGTACAATTCTCCCCATTCATTTCGTGTAAAGTTCTCTCAATTAATCTTGTGTAAAGTTCTCTTTCTATATAGCTTTTATTTATCTATCTATCTATCTATCTATCTATCTATCTATCCAGTATCTAAACTGGAGAAATTATTGCTTACTATCTCTTAATCTTTACAATGGGTAAAGAGACAAGGAGTATATTTTATTGTTTAAATAAAAGCTGGCTGCCCTCAGATCTTAATATTAAACATGCACTGTATTCAAAACGACATTAATTACTCAACACAAAAAAACTAAATTAAAAAAGATTTCGACCTCACAATTAGGTTTTTTTTATTATAGCAGTTTTTTATAACTTAGTATTTCTTGATTAATGTATTAGCTCAATTTTAGATATATGTACATTTTTACCTTGATTTTTACCTAACATTGTTGGAGGGGGAGGGGGGCGGGTGAGGCCCCCCCTCGGTTTTGCACCCCTGAAACCCTATGTTTGGATGAGCAGTGAAGAATATGTCAGTGTTCCAGTGTAAAGTGGATTTAAATCCAATATACATCCTAGAGAATCTGGAAAATTGAACCCTGGGGAAATCCAGGGGGGATAAACAACCGGGGGAATAATAAGGAGACGGAGGGGGGGTTTTCAATATACGGAGGGATTATATTTAAATTATTTAGTTTATCCTCTGAATTAATAAAGTTGAAGAATCTGTTATAAACTTTGTTAGTAATCACTTTGCACCCACTCGCGTACTTATGTACACTGTACAGTAAATTATACATGTATTCACTAAATAAACTAGTTTTATACAAACTTTTTTTCTGACTGACTATATTTCCTGCATAAAACAGAGATCAAGACTGCTTTGAAATTTTACACCAATTTTCAAGACAGTCGAGCCTTGGCCCCTAACTAACTCTGTTATACCTATACGTAGACCTAGACATTTAAATTTTACAACTGTAAATCACTTGTTTTTAGCTTGAAGGTATTAGAGTAATTGGACAAATTCTCATCATTTTTTACATCAGAGCTTGCAACCTTTTGATCATTTTGGATGCACATTAGTTCAAAAGACGCATGATTCGAACCGGTACAAGGATAACGGTCAAGTCTATACCGTACCAGCCCGTCTAGAGTAAAATTCATAAAAAGGAAGGGGGTAGGGTACAAGGATAACGGTCAAGTCTATACCGTACCAGCCCGTCTAGAGTAAAATTCATAAAAAGGATTTGCCCATAATTGCTTCACGCTCCATTATTCAGAATTAGAACGTCAAAGTTAAGCAACATTACTTGTGCGAATTTGTGACCTTTGTTACGCACAAGTGTATGAAAAAGCCAATTCGTTTTGTAGCTTATTATATAAATTAGAACGTTTTTAGTTATTATCTCAATTAGCTCTTAAATAGGAGTATTTATGTTAAAAACATAAAATAATTCATTCCAGTAGTAAATGTACTTTAGTTTGACGTGGTTTCCATTTTCTTGTGAAAGTATGTTCTCATTACTAAGGAATATCAATATCTTAGAGATCCACACTGATACAAAAAGTTGCATCGATTTGCACGACTGTATCGACTTTAAAGTGTGGCAATGTCTTGAGTTTACTGGCCTTACTAACTTACTTATATTTTACTGTAGCCCTGATCAAGGTTATAATGCAAGGAAAGTTAATTGCTGTCGCGTATACTCTGCGTATATATTAAAGCCACTTCTCTCTGGGCGGAATTTGTAAACAAGAATATATGCATCAGTGTTCGTCTATTATCCGAGGAGGTTAAAAGCATTCAATTTTAAAAATTTTGAAAATTCACATAATAGTTTCCTGTGACCAGAATATTTCATAGATTATTTTTATGAAAATTGATTCCATGTCAGGCTGTGACTTCCGCCTTGTGTTTACTTTCCAAAGACTGTAAACTGCAGTGCAAAAAATGCGTACACCTCTGAAATAACTTTCCTTGCATTAGTACCTTGGCCCCGATCAAAATCACATTAATTTGGGTGTTAAACATAAAATACAAATATTTTGAAATTTTTTTTTCAGAATTAAAACAATAAAATCATCTTTCAGAAAAAAACTTTGACCCAACAAATGTTTCTTTGATATATTTGTCGGTTGAAAGCAATAATTTTAAATAATCAGGGGGGGGGAGGGGGGAATATCCAAATGTGCAACATATTTTCTAAAGAATCTCCAGGATAAACAAATGCCCAAATATAAATTGGTCAATTTTAAAGCGTATATAAAAAGCATTTATTCAAAGCTTTTTGAAATCATTTTAAAACAATTCTGGCAAAGTCACACAAATCTCAAAATTGCATTGTCCGTGCCGGTACAGCACGTTTACTGTATATGAACTTTACCGTACTATCCACATTGGCTACCCATTGTACACTGTACAGTCGTCCCAGCACGTTTTGTGAAACACATGTAGCCTGGCCATAGATCACAGTGAAGAAAGAGACTAAAAGTAATTATTTTCATTTACTAATAGCGCCGATTGAAGGATTCATAACTCTGATTGGATAATGCGCTGGATAGAAAGATAGATGTTACCGCCATGCAATTTCTGTTGGTTCAGAATAGACAGAAAACGCATGGCTGAACCCCGATTGGATTAAGCGCTAATGGACTCGGCATACATAGAGTGTATCATACATCCTCTGATTGCAGAGCTACGGAGAAGAACAAAAATGTTTTGAATTTATCATACTTGTGTTTAAAATCAAACCAAGAGGCACTACGATGTCAAAAAGTAGTTTACCAGTAATGTCGCATACATTTGATGTTCTAGTTCGCAAAGCAAACAAACGAGGATTTAAAAAAAAAAAGTTTGAGGTCTCAGTTAGTTCTAACTGTATCATCACTTTGTTTATTTGAACATATCAAAAACATCACGCATTAAAATGTATTTTCATAGCAAAAACTTGCAAAATTAAGTGCATAATTTTGTTTCTGTGGACTTGCAAAGAAGTCCTTTTTATGTGGAAAAAATGTTGTTACTATCTAGAATAAACTTTAAATGTGAACATATTCTGAAAATCTGTTATCTTCTATCTTCTTCTCCTTCTATCTGTCGGTCCATATAATGTTTAATCTGCCTTTATTGCAAATTATTCTTCAGGGCGTCCAAATAATATCAATTTATCCTAATCAGTAGACCAATTTCAACGCGCAACAATCCTATTGGTTGAAAATATTTCATCTCGACTTTCATTGGTCCACCGCCCAGAGCTTGGCTCTGATTGGTGGTTGAGAAAATCTACAGCTGCTATTGGCGGATTTGCCTGATTAGGGTCCAATGAGCTGGTCTGAATGGGGCAATGATGGGTGGAGCGGTCCATCATGGGGGAATGATTGTTCCGTGAGGATTTTATTGGTTCTCATTATATCCGGCGGTATTGTATACTCAGTAGAGATTAAACCATCACACAACGCACCCTCATTATCTCACACAACGTACATAAATAGTCTCACAACGCGCACACTGTGCAGTGATAAAGAACGATAAAGTAAGAAGAAGATGGCAAGCGAGAGTGAAGATGAGAAACCTCTGATATTCAGGAATTTAAACAATTCAATAACAAAAATGTTTAAGATTTCTGATTTTTTATTTTTTTTTATACTTTTCTTTGACTCCATTAAAAATCTAATATGTTATGATCAACAAATCAACGGCAATGGGATTGAGTCTTAGCCACAAGTTCCGATTTTCTAATATCTTTGCAACCTGATGTCGTAGACCTTAGATATTTCAAACTATGAATTATGTTAGATCAATTAGCATTAGTTTGAAATACCACCAGGTTGCAAAGGTAAAGGGATGAAAAAATTTGAGTTTGTGACAAAGACGTACTCTTTTCCTTTTATTGACCCAGTAGATTACAAAAGCATTTCAAAATATTTTTAATCGTCTTACGAGAAATACAAATTTCATTGTTTACTCCTTTTCTAAAATCAAAATTGCGATATGATTTTATGTTCTCTAACAATTAAATTATCAAATAAACAAATTTCTATATTTCATTTTCCATGTAAAATAACTTTAAGAGATACAAAAAATTCCAAATCACAGGTTTGAATTTTTAGATGATACAACGTGATTTATCCTAAACCTCCTTTATGTTGCAAACCATCTCTTTAAATTGATTGATTGATTGAATTGTTAATAATCAGACCTGAACGTCTAACCTCTGATAAACGATATAACGAAGTGGCTGATGATGAAAAACGAGGGTTCAGCTCCTCTCTCTGTAAACAGTATGATTGGAACTTTCTAAAGAAATCTGATTCTAGCAGCAGCAGTAATAATTCTTCAGAGATCTTTCATAGAGAACAAAACAGCAGCTCAGCGGCAGATATGTTCAAAAGCAGCTCTGCAGTAGATATGTTCAAAAACAGCTCTGCAGTAGATATGTTCAAAAACAGCTCTGTAACAGAAATGTTTGAAAATAGAGATAATAAAGATAGAAATTTTACATCAATCCAAGGTTAATATTTTATTAGTTTTTTTTCCATTTTTTCTCTTCCTTATTTATTCGTGCATCCGTTAAACCTAGATTGCTCTAACCACGCCAAATTGAAGATTGAAATCATATCGTATCGAAGAGCTATTGCATATTGAAACTAAAACAAATGTTATGCATTTTTATAACATTTCTATACTATTTCTATAATATTTCTATAATATTTCTTAATAATTTCTATAAACATTGATATCGAAATGATACTAAAATAAAGCTTTCAAAGGTACCGTTGTGAATCGGGCATTGTAATCTGTACATGGAGGGTCACATGACATTACGCTTACAGTCCTCTTAAGTTCTTTGTTATGTAAATCGTTATTCATAGCGTTCTCTATATTTTGTATCCATCTATAACCGTTCTATTTAGCATTATCGTAACTCGTCCTATTCACCATTAACCTTATATTTGTTCTTTTTAGCATTAACCATTAATTATCATTTGTCCACAATTATCCAGACTGCTATGAAGAGTCGAATATATTTGAAACAAAGCTTTCAAAGGTACCGTTGTGAATCGGGCATTGAAATCTTTGCATGGAGGGTCACATAACATTACGCTTACAGTCCTCTTAAGTTCTTTGTTATGTAAATCGTTATTCATAGCGTTCTCTATATTTTGTATCCATCTATAATCGTTCCCTGTAGCATTATCATAACTCGTCTTTTTTTCATTACCCATTTATTTGTTCTTTTTAGCATTAACCATTAATTATCCTTTGTCCATGATTATCCATGTTCGCCCTACATATTATCAGCCATAAATTTCCTCTTTATCATTATACGAATTTGTCCTTTACATCATTATATATATTCGTTCTCTTAATAATTATCCATATTCGTCCTTCATAATATTTTACACATCTGTCCTTTACATCATTATACATATTCGTCCTTCATGTTATTATCCACAATCGTCCTTTAAATCAATATCTTTATTCGTCCTCTTTATAATTATCCATATATATACGTTCATACATATTCGTTCATACATATTCTTTTTTTTAAATATCCCTTTTACTTCTTTTTATATTATCCAAATTCGTCCTCTTTATTATTATTCATAGTCGTCATTCATATTGTCGTCCATTGTCGTCCTTTTATCATTATCCATAGTCTTTTTTTTCGATATATATTGGTCTTCATTATTCCATAATATATAATATCTATCTTTATATATATGTGTATATATCTGTGTATATATGTATATATCTGTATATCCATATAATAAAACAAGACATTCGTATATAAATATGTTGCCTATAGCCGGCCAAACGACTGGACAGATTGGGCAGAAATTTTTGTGGACACTCATGGGTAGCCAGGGGTGTTATAGGCTAAAAAAAAAATCGAAATTTTTTTCAAAAATTATTTATATATTTTTTTCCAAATTTTTCCAATTTGGAAATACACAGGAAACGCCGAGCCCTTCAACTAGTATCTGTATATATCTTTTTATATCTGTATTTATCTTTATATATCTGCATATATCTTTATTTATCTATATACAAATGTGTTTAGACCAGAATGCCCTGGACGCTATCCGAAGGTACAGGACGGCGTTCACCAGGGAGCAGATTGGTAAACTAGAAAAAGAGTTCCTTAAGGAGAACTATATTTCAAGGTATTATTATTATTATTATTATTATTATTGTAGTGGATGCTATGGAGCACATAAAAATGTGGATTAAGAAGACGACATTTAATCGATCTTAGTAAGTGAAATGGATCTTTGTGCAGTGTATTATCATTATTATTATTATTATTTTTATTATTATTATTATTATTATTATTATAATTATTATTATTGTTGTTTGATTATTATTTATTTCAGACCAAAGAGATGTGAGTTGGCTCATGAACTTAATCTTCCAGAAAACACAATTAAGGTAACATTTGGATTTATTGCTATTAGAATTAAAGCATTAATTATTATTGATCTCACCTCATTCTCAAACTAGCCTTTAAGGGCTATTAGCGGCCCCTAGTTGTAGGATTAGTTTTATCTATTAATTGTTGCTCTTAAATCAACAACTGTTCTTCATTCTCTAATTAAATAAAAAATTAAGGTTTTTTTTGTTAAATTTGGTGCATATAAAAAAATATAACTGGCGACATTTTTGTAAGTGCAATTTTGTTTTTTATTTTATCGTCCATAAACCATCCCTGGGGCCATGTGAATTGCCACACAAAAAATGACCCCAATCGATTTAGCCGTTTTCAGAGTTTTTTATGTTTTTTATTGAGAATCCCTCAAAATTATGAATACAAAATATAGAAAAGAAAGAATGAAAATGTAATTTATTAAGGTTTGGTTCCAGAACCGTAGAATGAAGGATAAACGTCAGAAAATGATTTGGCCTTGTGGAGATCCAATACTTTCTGCATACCTACTTCAGGTCATAATACTTATAATTTCTGCATACCTACTTCAGGTCATATTACCTATACTTTCTGCATACCTACTTCAGGTCATAATACTTATACTTTCTGCATACTTACTTCAGGTCATAATACTTATACTTTCTGCATACTTACTTATACTTTCTGCATACCTACGTCAGGTCATAATACTTATACTTTCTACATACCTACTTCAGGTCATAATTCTTATACTTTATGTATACCTACTTCAGATCATAATTCTTATACTTTCTGCATACCTACTTTAGGTCATATATCTTTCTCTTGGTATTTATCTTGATTTTGTTCTTGTTCTTGTTCTTGTTATTGTTCTTAATCTTGTTCTTGTTCTTGTTCTTGTTCTTGTTCTTGTTCTTGTTCTTGTTCTTGTTCTTGTTCTTGTTCTTGTTCTAGTTCTTGTTCTTGTTCTTGTTCTTGATCTTGTTTTTTAGGTTGTTCTTGATCGTTTTCTTAAGCTTGTTATTATAATCTTTTTCTTAATCTTCTTCTTGATCTTCTTCTTGCTTATTATGATTATTGTTTAGCTAGTTCTTGTTCACCTTGAATTAACTTATTTTTTATCTACTAGTTTTATCTTGTATCTACTAGTTTTATCTTTTATCTTGTATCTACTAGTTTTATATTTTATCTTGTATCTACTAGTTTTATCTTTTATCTTGTATCTGCTAGTTTTATCTTGTATCTTTTATCTGCTGGTTTTATCTTGTATCATGTATCTACTAGTTTTATCTTGTATCTGCTAGTTTTATCTTGTATCTACTAGTTTTATCTTGTATCTGCTAGTTTTATCTTGTATCTGCTAGTTTTATCTTGTATCTGCTAGTTTTATCTTGTATCTGCTAGTTTTATCTTGTATCTTAGTTTTGGTAATTTTATTCGAATTCTTATCTGTGTACTTAACTTAACTTAACTTGATTATTTTCTTGTTCTTGTCCTTTTTCTTGATCTTATGTTGTGGTCTAAATGAGTAAATTTACAAAAGAATTAAGTCTTTGCCGCAAACTCTGATTTTTAATCCCCATATCTTTGCAACCCAATGTCGTAGACCTTAGATTTGTCAAACTATGGATCAAATAATCTAGGTTTTAAATATGTTAGGTTTACATTTCTCATTTTTTTTATATTCCAGGCTGCTGCATCCAGCCCCTACCCTTTCTCCCCCCTCCTCCCTCATCTTCCCATGCACAGACCGATGTACTCCCCACATCCATCCTTCCTCCCCTTCCCTCCCCCTTCCCTTCAAGACTTCATGAAACCTTCTCCAGAGCTTCCTCTCCATCCTTCTCCTCCTTCTCCGCGGAACCTGGAAAAAAGCAAGGATGAAGAGAAGAATAAGAATCTGTTCCAACCGTATCTTGACGCGGAGCAGAAAATCAAACCATGAGCAATGGATTAAGAATAGAAGGAACTTGTTGGAAGAAAACCGGTTTATTATTAATAAGATTTAATAAGGACAAAGTAAATAATATTGCAAACAAAGGAATTGAGTCTTTGCCACATACTCAAATTTTCTAATCCCAATATCTTTGCAACCAAATGCCGAAGACCTTTTATGTTTCAAATTGTAAATTCTCGTAGTTAAAACAATCTAAGTTTGAAATTCGGAAATTTGATTTAGTGACAATTTGCTGAATTCCTTTTGTTGTCCTTTTCCTGGGCGAGGTCCAAAATAAGTCCATTAACTGAAGTCTTGTTTTCCCATCAAAGATTTCCAAAGGAATTGAGTCTTTGCCACAAACTCTGCTTTTCTTAACCTTATATCTTTGGATTCCAATGTCGTAGACCTTAGATATTTCAAACTATGAATTCTGTTAGATCAAATAATATAAGTTTGAAATATCAAAGATTTACGACATTGGGTTCCAAAGATTTAGGGGTTATAAATTCAGAGTTTGTGGCAAAGACTCAATTCCTTTTTATCTTTCTCCATTCTGGTGTTAAACGTTAAAAGCATGGGCTTCCACAGAGGGGCTTAAAAAGATTTCTATCCGAGGGGGCTGTACCCCCATCGCCCCCACACCCTGTTTTAACGCCTCTGTTCAGAAGTACTGAAATCCTAGTATACTAGATGTTCAATATTTACATTATGAAAGGGTTTAAATTCTTTTGCACATTCAGTTAACCCTTTTTCAATTTTCACATTGTAAGTACATGATGAAATATGAATATTTGTTTTATGTAATGTTTTTTCATAATTTATAGCATCTTAGTTACAAGAAATTAAAAGAAAACATTTTCGATTTAGTCAAGAAAATGTATTCTTGAAAGTCAAAGTTTAGTTTTGATTACAACTGTGATTACAATTCTCATGTTTATATGATTTTAAATTACGTAAACTGGTACAATACATGGATGTGACCGTAGATAATAATGTATCTTACCTAAAGGAATTGGATTAGGGCATAAATCTGATTTTTAAAATAACCCCTTAAAGGGACTATACGTGTATTTCAAGGAGGGGTACGCTCGATTCACAACGGCACTCTTTAAACCTGAGTAGAATATCTGAAAACTAATATTAAAAATAATGATTTCTAATTTTGGGTTTTTGTAAATATAACTTGTGGATTTTGTGTAACAGGGACAAAGAACAAAATTAACAGTATTAAACACCTTTTAAGATGGAAAAACATTGATATATTTTCCATTGTTTTTCATATAAACGTTTAAGTGGTACCGATTTGAATCTGGCATACCACTCTGAAAATCGAAGTTCGATTGAAATTGTGTCTTCAATACCTATATACAACGTTTCTATATACTAGCTTTAAATTCTTGCATTTGAATAATTTTCATTAAAATTACAATCAGAGAATTTTATTCCAGTTTATGAGTTTAAAATTCAAAATTATATCAAGGGAAATTAAATATTTTATTTAATTCTTAATACCAAGGTTCCTCAGTAAGATATTGTTTCTGTAAATTACCCATTGAAACTTGCATGAGTAAAATTAGTTCTGCCATACTTTGTGAATAAAATCTAACTATGTAAAATGTATATCTTTTAAAAATTTTTTAATATGTTTAGTCTTTTATGTTTTTGTTTAACGGACATGTGGATAATACATATGATATACATTTTTCTACAATGAAATAGTTACAACAGAATCATTGTAACGTTTTGGTTCTTGTTTTTAAATAATTAAAAAATCAAATCTTGTGAGAAATTATCCAGCGAGTTTGTGGTCTTCAATTATAGAAAGTTAAAACAAATAAATACTGATAATCTTTTTGTTAATATTTCACTCTCAAAACTACCATAACTATAAGCCAGTTACTTTCTTTTAGAAACTTCTCATTTCTGTGTGAATCTAGAAGGAAAGAAATTGAGTCTTTACCACGAACTTGATTTTTAATCCCTATATCTTTGCAACTCAAAGTCGTAGCCTGTAAATATTTCAAACTGTAAATCTTGTAGTACCAAATCTAAGTTTGAAAAATCAAAGGTTTACACCATCAGGTTTTAAAGATATAGGGATTACAAAATTTGAATTTGTGGCAAATACTTTAAAAGATATGCTTTTATCAAAAAGATACAAAGCTGTATTCCGCTTTTTATATCGTATAATACGTTTTGATTCATAGGTTAGATCTATATTTATAAGAGGGATGGATGTTAAGGTGGTGGTAATTGTAAGAAAATATACTTTAACGATAACTCTACTCAAAGTCTAATTAGAATCTAGCTGACTCTATCTCTAGCCAAAACTCAAGGCTCTCTATCCTTAGCCACAACTCAAGGCTACGTATATGTACGTATTAAACGAATAATCGTGTTGAACTAATTTATTTTATATACAGGTGAAATTCAACTGACCGTAATGGCCAGTCAGGGTCAACATGAAACATGATAAGATCGATAAACGAACATAGATAAATCAGATATTACTAGCATGGTTATATAATTCATTACAGTAATAATTGGACATAATTTGATTCTTTTTTTAAACTTTCAATAAAACTGTATTCGGTTTAAGTTTGGGTCTTAAACACGTGACCTGATATCTGAAAATGTACTTGACGAGGAGGTGTTCGGTGATGAACCATTTTTTGTGGAATCTTCTTAAAAATAGAAAAACCCTCAGAAAACGAATTTATTTCTCATCTCTAGTTGGAGTTAGCTGAAAGATAAGGAAGGAGGGTTGGGTTGGGGGCGACGCAAATGACCGAACTGGAAGTTAAAAAGAAGAATTTATCCCCGTGTTTTATTGGTTTGTATAATGTCCCCACCCTAATAACGTTTAGCGTAGTAGACCCCAATAAACTGAATAATATGCCTTGATTGATATTATACTGGAGACACAGCTAGCAGGGATAATTAATAGATAAATAGATTGATAGATAGATAAATCGATAGACGGATAAAAAGATATAAAGATATACTGATATACAGATAGAACGATAGAAATATAGACAGATAGACAGATAGACAGATAGACAGATATACCGATATACAGATAGGCAGATAAGAGATAGAAAGATAGACAGATAGACAAGAAAACATGTAGACAGATAGACAGATAGACAGACAGTCAGATAGTCAGATAGACAGAAAGACAGATAGACAGATAGACAGATAGACAGATAGACAGATAGACAGATAGTCAGACAGTCAGGGAGACAGATAGACAGATTAGACAGATAGACAGATAGACAAGAAGACTTGTAGACAGATAGACAGATAGACAGATAGACAGATAAACAGACTGCGAACGATAATCTAGANTCGTCTTCATTCATGAAAATATTAAAAGGAAAACGAATTGAATAACACAGATTTGAAAAGTGTTTTATTATTCTAACTTTGATACATCATGATTTACAAACGTGGCAACTAATGATTGTAAATGCGATTTTGAAGTATTTAAAAATAGAGCTTAATGTATCATACAGTAGCCGGCAGTTATGTCAATACAATGAAGACGACTTTTTATTTAAGTTTTGAATATTTACAATTGCTATTTTGAAATTATTAGATTACAAGTAATCAAAGAGAAGCTTTTTTTTAATGACAGCTTTTCAGTTTCCATGATATGTGTATATATCCATGAGCTGTTTAAAATCAAAATTGAAATTGAAGGTCGTCATATTGTATTGATGTATGCAACGACGACTGTGATCAATAACTAAACAGATTTAAAAACACAAGAATATTTCCTATTGAATAAAACAACTACAGATTTAAGTTTAAATTTTGCTATTTCTGAATATATCTAGGGCGAGTGTATAGAAAATATTTATTCCACAAAACATAAAAAGATCGTAATGATCGTTGATAGATGATAGCTAATAATGCCAAATTATGTATCACAAAAAAAGTTCCCAATTTGTGAGTTTTCTTCAACTTGGTCTGTACTTTCTTTAACTTGGTCTGTACTTTCTTCAACTTGGTCTGTACTTTCTTCAACTTGGTCTGTACTTTCTTTAAAAATGTTTAAGACATAAGGATGGTCATATACAATTTTGGGGTTATTTGATAAATTAAAATTTTAACAAAATTCTTTATATCTTGGGTAATTTTAAAGGTTCAAAAAAGACAGTGCAAGGCCAAGAGATATTTTGTGATAATTGGTTTTGACAATCGAATCTGTAAAATCTGTTTTAATAGTGTCACAATATCGTATATCAAGAACCATCATGCTAGTGGAACAAACTGTATTTTAACTTTGTTTCTATAAAGTTGCATATATTTCAGCTGTCTATGAAATTATTCTGTATAGCCTTATGTTAAAATACAATGTTGAAAAAGAAAGGCAAACCTATTTCTAAAGTATTAACGTACAATGTTATAACATTGGCACTAAATTAATTTGTTATGTGTAAATTATACATTCAAATATGTCATTATTATAGAAGTGCATATTTATTATATACATAATACATATTTAATTATTTGATGTGAAATTACGTTTTCAAAACATAAACGGCTCATTAATCATTACTTATTGTACACATACAGCGTATCCCACATCACATTAGATCGTTTATAACTCTAAATTGAGATTTTAGGGACTAATCAGAAAATTTAAAAAGAATGAATAATTTAAAAAAATGTAATAGGCTAATATAACAATTATCTTGAAGAAAAGGCCAGGTTTTTTGAGTATTATGTACGTATTTTGGCTGTAAAGCTTGGAGATAATCCAATATGATATGGGACGATCTATAGCTTAGCTACAAGGTATTTCACAAAAAATATGTATTTTTAATTTAAAATTGTTTGCAGCATTCATACCTCATCCTGATTTTTACCTAATTCTTTAAAATTCAATATTTCTAATCAACATTGAAAAAGTTAACGGTCAGCAGATAATAGTTAACAGTCATAATAAAAAATATTCTAAAGAATGGATCTTTGCCACAACCTCAAATTTTCTAATTCCTATATCTTTGCAACCTAATGGTGTAAACCTTTCATATTTCAAACTTTTTGGACTTTTGTTGTTTTTGGCATTGCTTCATAATGCTTTCTTTGGCATGAGATATTATATTTTGAATAGGATTATTTTAATATATAAATTTATAAACACCCTTATATATTGTTGCCGTTCCCAGCAATACATATATAAACCTATTCATTTGTAATATATGTGAATTCTATTCCAATGTAAACTTTTTATGTAGGTTCCGAGGTAGGGAGGGGTTATATGCAGTTTCCAAGATAGGGAGGGGTTTTATGCAGTTTCCAAGATAGGGAGGGGTTTTATGCAGTTTCCAAGGTAGGGAGAGGTTATATGCAGTTTCCAAGGTAGGGAGGGGTTTTATGCAGTTTCAAGGTAGGGAGGGGTTTTATGCAGTTTCCAAGGTAGGGAGGAGTTATATGCAGTTTCCAAGGTAGGGAGGGGTTTTATGCAGTTTCCAAGGTAGGGAGGGGTTTTATGCAGTTTCCAAGGTAGGGTTTGGGTTTTATGCAGTTCCAAGGTAGGGAGGGGTTTATGCAGTTTCCAAGGTAGGGAGAGGTTATATGCAGTTTCCAAGGTAGGGAGGGGTTTTATGCAGTTTCCAAGGTAATGAGGGGTTTTATGCAGTTTCCAAGGTAGGGAGAAGTTATATGCAGTTTCCAAGGTAGGGAGGGGTTTTATGCAGTTTCCAAGGTAGGGAGGGGTTTTATGCAGTTTCCGAGGTTGGGAGGATTTTATGCAGTATCCGAGGTAGGGAGGGGTTATATTCAGTTTCCGAGGTAGGGAGGGGTTTTATGCAGTTTCCGAATTTGGGAGGGGTTATATGCAGTTTCCGAGGAAGGGAGGGGTTATATGCAGTTTCCGAGGTTGGGAGGGGTTATATGCAGTTTCCGAGGTTGAGAGGGTTTTATACAGTTTCCGAGGTAGGGAGGGGTTTTATGCAGTTTCCGAGGTTGGGAGAGGTAAGTATTCTTCATATGCTCCTTCCAATAAGGTTTCTTCTTCATCAATACAGCTCTGCAGGGTTTCTTTCACTTGACAGCCTGCAGAGGAGCAGCTATCATACTGGGTTTCATTTTCATATTCTTCTCCCAACCTAATGCAATAGATGTTAGCTTAGAGAAAGAAGCCATTAAGTAAAACTATTTCAATGCCGTAGAAATAGAACTTATTAATAAACATGGAGTTTCTTGTCACGTTATTTTCATTGGAGGGTGATGATTCTTTTCTTGTACTGTCCCGTTCTACCGTTTATATATGCTTTTGTTTATTGTAATGTACAAGTCATGCTCTAGAGGCCTATAAGTCGTGTCGGTTCAGTTTTTAGTTATATCGTGCTGTTTGGTTTCTTTAGTAGGGCCCGACAGGAAAAATATGTATTGGCGAAACTGGTCAAAGAAAATTGAGCCAATACATATTTTTCCTGTGGGGTCCTACTAAAGAAACCAAACAGCTCGATATAAAATGGAGTACCGTCTGCAAAGCATGTATAATCATATGGTAGGGCGAACCGCGTCAGTTGTCTCTCCCTTCTATTCCTTACTCCCTGGGTGTAAGGCAGAATAATTGTAATAGGGAAGGGATGAAGGATTATTTTCTGTTGAGAAATTAATTCAAAACGTTTAAAGGGACTGTAAGCGTAATTTCAAGTGACCCTCCATGCAAAGAAGGCAATGTTGCCCAATTTACAACGGTACCCTTGAAACCTTTGTCTGATCAAGTATGAATTAGATATCAATGTTTTTGTTTTTTAAACTGTTTACTTTCATTTTCGGGTTCTCTGCGAAAGTAAAGCAACGGAGAAACTCAAAGAAATAAACACTTTTCGACTCAGAAAAACGACAAATTCTTCCACATTTTTTGATCAGATTAAGCTGGTACCGTTGTAAATCGGGCAGCATAGCACGCAAAGCTGGTGTATATTTGAATATCCGAGCTGGGCCGACCATTTCGCTCCTAGTTTGGACTTTACAGACAACTTACAATTACTAATGTGGCAGACCTGTGTGATTACCATCTTTGCACGGAGGGTCACGTAAAATTACGCTTACAGTCCCTTTAACAGAGATTGTTGCCGTCCTCAGCAAGACATATATATATTACCTATTTATTCGTAATATATTTCCCATTTAAACTTTGTCACAAATTCAAGTTTTTTTCAATTCCTTTATCTTTGCTACCTGTGTGATATTTCAATTTTGGATTATTTGATTTAACAGCATTCACCGTTGAAAATATCAAAGGTCAAAGACATTGGGTTAGAAAGATATATAGGATTACAAAATTTGAGTTTGTAGCAAAATTATTTCAATTTTTTCCTTTATTTTGGATGAAAGACTAACATTTTCAGCACGCATATTATAAACGTATTTTTACTTTTGACAGCATCATGAGAAAGCCAGCAAAAAGAAATTGAAAACTTTAATAAAATGGCTGAATTATGAAAATTTAATAAAATTGGAGAAATTGGAAAAATTAAATATTAACTTTATTATCAATTTTTAAAATAGAATTGTAGTACGCACGCACATGTAACACATTTAAGTAAACTGCTCTGGTATTATAAATAGACTAGGCTTTTAGGGCGCTTCGCGCCCATCTTCTTTTTAAATTGTGAACATATTCTTTTTGTTTACATGTTTAAACAAAGAAGAAAAAAATTTTGCGGATATAAAAAAAATATTCGCGGATTTTCAAGAATTTAATTTTTTTACAAAATTATAAACCTTTAAAACACATTTTTTTTTAATCATTCATAAACTTTCCCTGTGATCACGTGATGTCCCAAAAAAAATTTGGGCCCGATCGGTTCAGCCGTTTTGACGTTTATTGGATACAAACAAACAGACAAACAGACAGACAAGCCAAATTTATATATAGATTAGAACTTTGCTCTGAGAAATTTTCAGTTTTCAAAATGTCTTACAAAAAATTAAGGGGATGATAACTTTAATGTGTTTTTTAAAGAATAATTAATCTTTTATTTGAAAAGGAAATGCCATATTACTTTACAGAAGTTGAATATAGCCTTTTGTCTATAACCAAATTACAACCATGCCCTGTAAACCTTTATTCATGTATTGATTGATAGTGGTGTTCTTTCTTTCCTTCAATTACAGGTTAAACGGTAACTATTGTGAATCATTTTTGGCAAGTTTAAAGGAACTGTAGACGTAATTAAAGGATTTAAAGGAACTGTAGACATAATTTCATGTGACCCACCTTTGTAGAGTGGTGTATCCGACACCATGAACAATTTACCCTTTAAACCATTAAATAATTAAAGATGACGGAAATATTCTTATTAATCTACAGAAACGCTTATGATTATTAATAACTTGAAGTTTCCAAGGAAATATAAATTTCAACTTATCAGAAGAAAAACAATTCGATGATACAATCCGTTTCCAGAAATTAGAACACAAATCTAGAGATAAACACACTGAATTCTCTACCTTCGATGATCTGACATATGTTTAAAGGGTACCGTTGTAAATCAGACATGCCTCTTTATAATTGGAGGTTCACTGTAAATTACGCCTACAGTCCCTTTAACTCAAAGATGCCATATCGACCTTTTTCTCATCAAGAATAAATGAGATTTGTTCAACGAGGTTATATTGTATAGAGTGATGATGTACGCTAATCCTTTACTAATTTTACAGGCCATAAACTATACCGAGAGCGTACTGCTGATTTGTTTATTTAACCCTATTCCCGCTGGGGGGGGGTCAATTTGACCCCCCCCTGTAGTTTTTTTTACATAACTCAAAAAGTATTGGTCTGAGGCTGTTGTGGGCCTGATCGGTTCAGCCGTTTTGACGTTTATTGGATACAAACAGACAGACAGACAAACAAACAAACAGACAGACAGACAAGCCAAATTTATATATAGATTAGAAGGAACTTTTAATATAAAAATTTGGATCGAAAAGTTTTGCAGGAAAAAGGAAATATTAATTATCAAAAAATGAAGAGAGCGATGATATTATGGAATAATTTTGCAAATCAAATTTTAATTATTAGATTGCATTTTCATTGAACTCGTTTCAATCAAAAAATGAAAAAGAATATTAAGAATGAATTATGAAAATAAATAAAAAATAAACAATAAATTATAAATTAAAAGTATTTTCAAATTATAGAGAAAGGAAAATACTTAAAGTTTGAACAACACTTCAAAACATAATTATTCATTTCAGGTAATAAATCATTCTTAAGTAGGGATGGACATCATTTTTAAACATTTAGGATTTTTTGACGTTAATAGTGGTTATCGAGAATGTGAACTGTTTATAATATTGCAAAATTGTATTCTAGATAAGTTTGAAATATTTTGCATAAAATTAAACTTATCAATCAAGCATACAATTTTGATATAAGATGTACAGCTAGCTCAGATTCTTGTGAGCTTCATAAAATTGTTTGATTTATAATTTGATCGAGAAAATATGTGTTCGATTTAACTTTTGATTGACTCCCAAGAGCCATGAGACCAAGTACTGGCCCAATTCTTAAAGAGACCGTTCACTTATTTGGATAATTTCAGGGTAAACTAATTAGCCTATTCGCTGTTGATCGGTATTAGTCTGAAAGACAACTGTGGCCGGAGAAAAAGCCGATTTTCGTTAAGAATTCGAGCGCAAAGGTATGGTACCGCAAAGGTATGGTACTCTGCAAAGGTTGGTACTGAAAAGGTATGGTACGTACATAGATTTTTCTCTTTTCTATGTTATACTTTATTGTTGGCAAATGCATTTGAAATTAAAAATGAAGACAACTTAAAATTGGAAAGTCTTTGCAACAAACTCAAAGTTTTAAATACCCATATCTTTTCAACCTGATGGTGTGAACCTTATGTATTTCAAATCTAGATTATTTGGTCTGACAGAATTCATAGATTGAAATATTTATGGTCTACGACATTGGGTCGCAAAGATATGGGGATTAGAAAATCACAGTTTGTAGCAAAGACTCAATTCCTTTAAAGAATGTCGAATTAAAATTGAAGAACACTTGATTACCTTATATGGCGTGAAGAAATTATATCGGGAAATCTTTTTGCCACAGTTAAATAAACCAGACACCCTGTAATCAATAAAAAGGTTTATTTGAATAAAAAGAAGTAACATTTAATATTAGTTAAGCAAAATAGTTGATGTTTTATAATTCCGTTTTGTAACTGTCTGAAGTGTCTTAAGTCTTAACAGAAAAAGAAATATCATTATTAAAAAAAAACATAAAAACAACACAATTAGAAAACCATTGACTATTATTGAACCATAATAATTTTAAGTGGAACGTGTGTGGATTTTTTAGAAACGACCCGCTGATTTTACCAAAGAACTATTAAATTAGCTTTCTTTTATATCAATTAAAAATATTATTATTCTTTAAATTATAATAATCTCTAATATTCGATAAAATTATTCGATTGAAAATTATATATTATTATTTTATTATTTTATTTTTCACAATACTAATAGTTGTACTATAAAGTATATTATTATCATGCCCTTGGTTATTACTTTATTTTTTACGTTTTGTATTTCTTTATTAAAATAACAAATTACCTATTCCAGCCTGGAGGAGTATTATAGCAGCGATATGCCAGGCAAATATCATTGTTATTATCATCATATCATCGTGTGTAGTCCATACACCCCCTCCCTTTAATAGATATAAGGGGAATCAAAAGAGTTGGCGAGTTGAATTTGGGCCCTCATATTATTATAAAATGACTTTTGGCTCATGAAAATTTAAACATACTATTCTTCCTGGTTTTGTAAATGATATTTATAAAAAGCAAATATGTACACATTTAAATAGACTTTTCAGTAAATTCCTTGCGCAGCAGATATACAGTCTGCGAGTCTTCTGAGGTCCGAGAGAATAAAAAATATCTGTAGAAACCTACCAAAGAAATGTAGAGAATGACAGATGTATGTAGAAACCTACCAAAGGATTGTTGAGAATGAAAAATATCTGTAGAAACCTACCAAAGGATTGTAGAGAATAAAATATATCTTAAGAAACCTACCAAAGGGTTATATGAAATGAAAGAGATCTGTAGAAGAAACCTACCAAAGGGTTTTAGAGAATGAAGGATATTTGTAGAAACCTACCAAAGGACTGTAGAGAATGAAAGAGATCTGTAGAAACAAACCAAAGGTTTGTAGAATGAAGGATATTTGTAGAAACCTACCAAAGGATTGTTAGAGAATAAAAGAGATCTGTAGAAACAAACCAAAGGTTTGTAGAGTGAAGGATAGTTGTAGAAACCTACCAAAGGATTGGTAGAGAATAAAAGAGATTTGTAGAAACCTACCAAAGGATTGTAGAGAATGAAAGATAGTTGTAGAAACCTACCAAAGGATTGGTAGAGAATAAAAGAGATTTGTAGAAACCTACCAAAGGATTGTAGAGAATGAAAGATAGTTGTAGAAACCTACCAAAGGATTGGTAGAGAATAAAAGAGATTTGTAGAAACCTACCAAAGGATTGTAGAGAATGAAAGATAGTTGTAGAAACCTACCAAAGGATTGTAGAGAATGAAAGATATATGTAGAAACCTACCACAGGATTGTAGAGAATGAAAGAGATCTGTAGAAACCTACCAAAGGATTGTAGAGAATGAAAGAGATTTGTAGAAACCTACCAAAGGATTGTAGAGAATGAAAGATATATGTAGAAACCTACCACAGGATTGTAGAGAATGAAAGAGATTTGTAGAAACCTACCAAAGGATTGTAGAGAATGAAAGAGATTTGTAGAAACCTACCAAAGGATTGTAGAGAATGAAAGATAGTTGTAGAAACCTACCAAAGGATTGGTAGAGAATAAAAGAGATTTGTAGAAACCTACCAAAGGATTGTAGAGAATGAAAGATAGTTGTAGAAACCTACCAAAGGATTGTAGAGAATGAAAGATATATGTAGAAACCTACCACAGGATTGTAGAGAATGAAAGAGATCTGTAGAAACCTACCAAAGGATTGTAGAGAATGAAAGAGATCTGTAGAAACCAAGTTCCCTGCAGAAATACAGCAAATGTCCTTCCAAGTCCAAAAAGTACGTTTTCCCTGATTGAAAAATTGTAGTCAAAAATCTGTCAATTTTAAAGGTTTTTCATTTTCAGGATAAGATTTTTAGTTTAAGCTGTTTTAGTTTCCTTTTATTGTAACGATGGTTTACGTAAAAAAAAAACAATATAGAAGATGATTTTAAAAATTATACCATATCTATATATATACTTGTCTGTTTGTTAGTTTCTCTGTATGTTGTCCATCAAATGTTGAAAATCCGCGAAATTTTAAAAGAAAATCCGAAAACTTTTTTGTTTTCGTCTTACAATGAATACAAAGGTTTATATATTACAATTGTCTCAAAAAATCCATTTTTTTTCAAAAATTTTGAAAACCTACGACAAAAATTTATTAAATCCAATATGCTCTCAGATAAAGCCATAATTAAAAGTTAAATTATAAGATGGGTGAAAAGCAGCCTGAAACCCTTGCTTTATAAAACTGGTTAAATAAAAAACAATGAACGTAAAAAATCCTTCCGCGGCATGAGAATGAATAATAGAGTAGAAGATATAGGAAGGATGAAGGGATGAATAGATGAATGGATGAATGTATTCACCTGTTAAATGTCTCAAGAATTGTGAAGCTCACTGTAAGTAGTATGGCGTAAACCAGAAAAGTATGCAACTAAATGTATTTATTTTTAATGTGAAACTTTTTTAGAAAACCCCTACCTGCACTTTAACCTATATTGGACATAAAACCAACCTATACATGAACCAAACCTGAAGTTGAACTCAATCTGTACATGAACCCATCCCGTACAAAAAAAACCAGCCTGTACATAAACTCAACCTGTACAAAAAAACAATCTCAACATAAATATAACCTATAAATAAACCCAACTTGTACATAAGCCCTACCCGTACACATATATGCTATACCTGTAAAAAACCCCAACCTCTAAATAACCCAAGCCTGTACATAAACTCAAACTGTACATGAACTCTACCTGTAAATAAACCCACCCTGTAAATCAGCCCTACCCGTACATAAACCCAATCTTTTCATAACCCACATTGTACAGAAACCAACTCTGTACATAAACCCCACCTGGACATATACCCATCCTGTGCATAAACCCACCCTGTACATAATCCCAGCCTGTGCATAAACCCAATTTGTACATAAACCCAGCCTGTACATAAACCCAGCCTGTACATAAACCCATCCAATATATAAATACAACATATATATACCCACCCTGTACAAGGACCCAACCATTACAGTATACACAAACCCACCCTGTACATAAACCCATCCTGTACATAAACCCACCCTGTACATGACCCCTACCTGTACGTCTATCTCCGTCCTTCCGTGAAGATGCCAGGAGAAGAGAAATGCTTCAACTCCGAACCCAACAGCAGCAGATATATAATCCAGTTGAGGAGGGAGGACACCGGGTCTAGTGATTATTTTTGGTTTGGAGAAATATAATAAAACATTGTTTTGATAAAATATTTAATTTTTGTCAAATTTTTGGATTGATTAAATATCCTGTTTGAAAAAACATATTTGGTTTTGTCACCTATTTGCTACAGAAAATTTGTTGATTTCCCTAATACTTGGTTTGGTTGAAAAAACATTAAGAAGGTCACCGCACATGTTTTTGTTGCATTTTAAAGTTATTGCTAAACATTAAACAAAACCTGTAAAAGTTCCCAAAAAACCTGTAAAAGTTCCCAAAAAACCTGTAAAAGTTTCCAATAAAACATGTAAAAGTTTCCCAAAAAAAATGTAAAAGTTTCCAAAAAAAAAATTGAAAAGTTTCCAACAAAATCTGTAAAAGAATTTCCAAAAGTTATGTAAACGTTTCGAACAAAACATTAAAAGTTTGCAAAAAAAACATACATTTAAAGTTTCCAACAAAAAGTTTGCCACAAAACAAACCTGTAAAAATTTACAACATCCACTACTCCATTTAATGCAAAGAATCCAAACATAGTAATATGTTGACCATTCCCCAAATGGACGAATTTTCCGTCCTAAAATACGGAAAATGTTTACTTTTTTTACATACTAAGTATACTGTTACTTACAAAGAATAAGACTGTAAAGACTACAGACAATCTAAGTATGACGTATCAAGGTTAAATTAAGTCTTCTGCTCTAAATATAATATTTTAATGGCTTATTTAAAGATTTGGCAAAGAAAGAAAAAAAAATTACAGTTGCAGGGAATCGTGAATATAAGGAAATAGACAGTTTAAATTCTGCACAGTCGTCTATGAAGTCTCATCTTTTGTGGGTAACCGTTTATCCGTCATTAGGTTGCATATACTACAGTGGAGGAGATCAGAGAAAACACGACATAGTGTTTGTAGTATCCTGGCACCATATTTCTTTCATACTAAATATTTATAAATGATGTGACAATATTATGGAACCACCTGGGGTTTAAACTAAATATTACTTTACTTGATTAATTGTGACAATAATCATTAAAATAAGTAATAATACAATATAGTCCTTTGGAGACATGATACTAATGATTTAAATAGACTGAGGCCAAATTTAAAGAATTTGAGCCGCGGCTCAAATATGGTTGGTTCCCCTTAAAATTGTATTCAATGTTTCAAGAATGTAACCAGTTTTTGGCGGATTTTAGACGCGGATCAAATCATTAAATTCGGACACTGTTAGTGTATTTTCAAATGACCCTCCTTTTTCAAAGAACCCACAAAATTAAAAAAAAAATCATGGATATCTAATTCATACTTGATCATTTAAGTGTACTGCTGTAAATAGGACCTTGCCATCTTTGCATGGAGAGTCACCAGAAAGTACGCGTACAGTACCTTTAAATTACCAGAAAGTATGCGTACAGTCCCTTTAAATTACCAGAAAGTACGCGTACAGTCCCTTTAAAAGACCAGAAAGTATGCGTAAAGTCCCTTTAAATGACCAGAAAGTACTCGTACAGTCCCTTTAAATGACCAGAAAGAACGCGTACAGTCCCTTTAAATGACCAGAAAGTACGCGTACAGTCCCTTTAATGAAATGACCTTAAACTAACCTGAAATCCTGTAACTGTTTCGCCAACAATTCCAATGCTGAACAAAGTTTATTCAAATTTATTCTGCTAGGCTTATAGAGCACTTCGCGCCTATCTTCTATTTCAATTTTTAATTGGGTCTCTTTCTGTGAGCATCTTTTCTTTATACAATGAAAAACAATAACAAAAACAAGTTCGCGGATAAAATGATATTTTTTCGCAAATTTTCTAAATTTAACAAAAATCAAAAACTTTTAGACACAAATTTGTGTAATTTTGAGCATCCATAAACCTTCCCTGGGGAATGGGGATATGTGAGGTCCCACACAAAATTTAGGCCCGATTAGTTCATCCGTTTGGACGTTAATTGGATACCACAGTCGGACAGACATATAAGCAGACACCATGACAGACAGACAGACAAATAAAGTATATACATAAATGTCAGTTATTTTCAAAGGTGAAACAGGGGTATTTTGTGGATAAAGAGTGGATTTTTTGGTGCTCCAAAAGTGCACGTCACAAACGAAGTTAGTTAGTATATTATACTAGAAATTCAAGGCGCTTCGCGCCCTTCTTTCTAGCCTTTTAGGGCGCTTTGCGCCCATCTTCTATTTAAATTGTGAACATGTTCTTTTTGTTTACATTTAAAAAACAAAGAAGAAATTTTTTTTTTGTATTTTGAAAAAAAAATCGCGGATTTTCAGGAATTAAAATTTTTTTTACAAAATTAAAAACCTTTAAAACACATTTATTTTTTATTTTTATCATTCATAAACCTTCCCTGTTGTCACGTGATGTCCCACAAAAAATTTGGGCCCGATCGGTTCAGCCGTTTTGACGTTTATTGGATACAAACAAACAGACAAACAGACAGACAAGCCAAATTTATATATAGATTAGAACTTTGCTCTGAGAAATTTTCAGTTTTCAAAATGTCTTACAAAAAATTAAGGGGATGATAACTTTAATGTGTTTTTTAAAGAATAATTAATCTTTTATTTGAAAAGGAAATGCCATATTACTTTACAGAAGTTGAATATAGCCTTTTGTCTATAACCAAATTACAACCATGCCCTGTAAACCTTTATTCATGTATTGATTGATAGTGGTGTTCTTTCTTTCCTTCAATTACAGGTTAAACGGTAACTATTGTGAATCATTTTTGGCAAGTTTAAAGGAACTGTAGACGTAATTAAAGGATTTAAAGGAACTGTAGACATAATTTCATGTGACCCACCTTTGTAGAGTGGTGTATCCGACACCATGAACAATTTACCCTTTAAACCATTAAATAATTAAAGATGACGGAAATATTCTTATTAATCTACAGAAACGCTTATGATTATTAATAACTTGAAGTTTCCAAGGAAATATAAATTTCAACTTATCAGAAGAAAAACAATTCGATGATACAATCCGTTTCCAGAAATTAGAACACAAATCTAGAGATAAACACACTGAATTCTCTACCTTCGATGATCTGACATATGTTTAAAGGGTACCGTTGTAAATCAGACATGCCTCTTTATAATTGGAGGTTCACTGTAAATTACGCCTACAGTCCCTTTAACTCAAAGATGCCATATCGACCTTTTTCTCATCAAGAATAAATGAGATTTGTTCAACGAGGTTATATTGTATAGAGTGATGATGTACGCTAATCCTTTACTAATTTTACAGGCCATAAACTATACCGAGAGCGTACTGCTGATTTGTTTATTTAACCCTATTCCCGCTGGGGGGGGGTCAATTTGACCCCCCCCTGTAGTTTTTTTTACATAACTCAAAAAGTATTGGTCTGAGGCTGTTGAAATTTTCTGACTTTTCTTACATACCCAAAGCCCTCCCTTTAGGCCTAAAACCGGGCTTTAATACTAACTGCCTGAGTCCTCAGGCACACTGCCTGAATGACTGCTTTTGCCTGTAGCAAACTAAATCTTTGTTTTGGCCCACTTTCACTTGTCAGATTTTGATAAAATTTAGCTTTTTGGAAAGCCTATGACATAAGGAAACGGATTGCACAAGTTTTGCGAAAAAAAAATTGCAAATCTTTTGCAAAAAACCTGTCAAAGGAAATTTGCACATTTTTAGTTTTTCTTGATTAAAAATCAGGTTATTTAAAATTTTGCAAAATTTTTTGCATATTTGAAATGGCATGGTCAAGGGCTTTTTAAAAATGTATAATTTGTCATTTTTTGGACAAATTTTTTTTTGCAAACATTTTTACTATAAAACTGGATTTTGCGATAAAAAATTCAATTTTCGCAAATTTGCAAATTTTTTTGCAGATTCTAAAAGTAGAGCACAAGAGCTTTCTAATGATGTATCATTTGTCATATTTGGACATAAAACATGGGATTTAGAGGGGGGGGTCAAATTGACCCCCCCCCAGCGTATCCTGGTTTTCAAGTACCCCAGCGGAGATAGGGTTAAGTTGATTCTGGTCTAACCTATAGTATATCAATATTAGTAGACAGTTGAAAGTGTACAGTATAGCTAACTGAGCACACAGGTAGAGAACTATCATTCCCCTGGATATCTTTACTTTTCTAACTGAAACTTGATTATTTCTAATTGTGATGAGAAATCGTGCAAACGAGCAGATGAATGAATTTTCAGAATTAAAACATTTTAAATGTTGGAAGACGACGCTATCTTTGTTACTCAGGTAGAGGTATAGAGGGTACCACTGTGAATCGGACTAAAAAACATCTACCTGATAAGCGTGAGTTTGATGACTGCTTCCAAGGGAAAGTTAGATAAACAGTTGCATCTAGAATTCATCAATAATCAATTTCTAATTTAAATCTGATTTTTTGTAATTTATAATTAAACTCTTAATTTAAAAATAAACGTCTCTGATCAAACAAAATTGAGAAAAAAGAATCAAAATCTATGCAAAAAAAAATAAAAACAAAGGATCCAAATCTATGCAAAAAAAAATAAGAACAAAGGATCCAAATCTATGCAAAAAAAATAAGAACAAAGGATCCAAATCTATGCAAAAAAATAAGAACAAGGATCCAAATCTATGCAAAAAAAATAAGAACAAAGGATCAAAATCTATGCAAAAAAATAAGAACAAAGGATCAAAATCTATGAAAAAAAAACTAGAACAAAGGATTAAAATCTATGCAAATAATTGAGAAAAAGGATCAAAATCTATGAAATTAATTGAGAAAAAGGATTAAAATATTTACAAAATAATTGAGAAAAAAGGATTAAAATATTTACAAAATAATTGAGAAAAAATGCTTAAAATATTTGCAAAATAATTAAGAAAAAGGATTAAAATATTTGCAAAATAATTGAGAAAAAAGGATTAAAATCTATGCAAAATATTTAAAAATGAAATAAATAAACAATGTTTAGAAACTATTAAGGATTGTTCCTGCAAAGTTATGTGTGCTTTTTAAAGGGACAGTAAGCGTAATTTCAAATAACCCTCCATGTAAAGATGGCAATACCTGGTTCTCAACAGTACCATTAAAAACTTTTTCTGATCAAGTATGAATTAGATATCGATGCTATAATTTTGAAAACTGATTATTTTCAATTGTGGTTTCTTTATAATAGTGACCTGCGTATTTCTACTGCAGGAAAACATAAAGTATTCGGGGAATTGGAGGGTCACTTAAAATTACACGCACAGTCCCTTTAAATTATGTTATTTACCTGAAGCTGGATGAATTAAAATATTTTCTTTTGCTGAGTCGAGATTCAAAATATCTCCTTTAATTAGTAGATATAATTTCTTGAGTAAAATTTTAAAAACTCATTAAAAATTGTTAATGAAAATTAGATAACGTTTCTTAACCCAAACACAAATACGTAATTGTCAGAAACCCGTTGTTTTTCTTTCAATTTTCGGCGTGTTTAGTTGAACATCAATATCGGTTTCTATAATTAGACCTTTTATTTTTAACTTTTATATAGGTGGACTTTAGATATCTAATTAAATCATGAATTAATTACTGAAATGTCTCTTACTCTTGGAGGAAAAGCATATTTGAGAAAGGAGATGAGGGGGGGGCGGTATACCTTTATATGGATACCATCCACCATATAGAGAAGGATATAAAGAAAGGGGGGGTATATACCTATATATGATAATATGGATACCATCCACCATATGAAGAAGGATATAAAGAAAGGGGGGGTGTACCTATATATGGATATCATCCACCTTATAGAGAAGGATATAAAGAAAGGGGGGTATACCTATATATGGATATCATCCACATTATAGAGAAGGATATAAAGAAAGGGGGGGATGTATACCTCTATATGGATACCATCTACCAGATATACAAGGATATAAAGAAAGGGGGGTATACCTCTATATGGATACAATCCACCATATAGAGAAAGATATAAAGAAAGGGGGGTATACCTATATATGGATATCATCCACCATATAGAGAAGGATATAAAGAAAGGGGGGGTATACCTATATATGGATATCATCCACCATATAGAGAAGGATATAAAGAAAGGGGGTATACCTATATATGGATATCATCCACCATATAGAGAAGGATATAAAGAAAGAGGGGGGGTATACCTATATATGGATATCATCCACCATATGTAGAAGGCTATAAAGAAAGGGGGGGTATACCTATATATGGATATCATCCACCATATAGAGAAGGATATAAAGAAAGGGGGGGTATATACCTATATATGGATACCATCTACCAGATAGAGAAGGATATACAGAAAAGGGGGTTATACCTGTATATAGATATCATCCACCATATAGAGAAGGATATAAAGAAAGGGGGTGGTATGTACCTATATATGGATATCATCTACCATATAGAGAAGGATATAAAGAAAGGGGTGGTATACCTCTATATGGATATCATCTACCATATAGAGAAGGATATAAAGAAAGGGGTGGTATATACCTATATATGGATACCATCCACCAAAGAGAGAAGGATATAAAAAATGTTCCAGGAAGAACGTGACCCATAAACGAACCCATTTTGTTACCTAAAATATAATTTTACAAAAAAAATACATTTTTAAAATTTTAAATACAACTTTATTCCAAAAACAAAATTAAAAGTTTGAAAATTTTAAAAGTTCATAATTTCTATTTAAAGGGACGGTCAGTTTAATTTCAAGTGAACACACAATGTCGATCAGCTCAAGTATGAATCAAACATCTATGTTTTTTGTTTTTTGTTTTACTTTTCATTTTCATGTGTGGTTTCTCCGTAAAAGTGACTTGTGCATTTCTTGCTTTAAAGAAACAACGGTGAAATTATCAGAATAGAACACTTTTCGAGTCAGAAATTATACATTATCTTTCACACATTTGATCAGATTTGAGGTTTTCAGCTCAAATTCTTGAATAAATGATTAAATAATGTTCCTGTTCACTGTGTGTGTACCTTTACACTAAAGAGTCTACACGTTAGAAACAATGACTTTCTCCCAAACAATGATGATTATATGATACAAGAAAATTACTTGGAGTTTATTCATTATCAATTATGACGTTACAGAACTTTCAATCATAACAATTAGTTTAGTTCAGTTTGAGCAAATGTTTGTAAATAATTTTTAATTGATAAAAATCAAGTCCACCATAATCATGCCTCATTTTTCCGTGCATCTATGATCTACAATCGATCATTTCTACCCGACCGCTATTCCACCAGACCCCTTATCTACAAACCTCCTTTTAGCACCTTGGTAACCAAACACATAACACAATATTTGTTGATTAAACTAAACCACATGTTGCATATTATATAATTACATTATTATAAAATACAACCACGGCAGCTGATTCTAATCTGACCGCGCGCAGTAGTACACGGTTACCCGCAAAGCATGAAACTTTAATCACGACCCAAAACTGTAAAAATATAAATATTTTCTGCATTTTTGTTTTTGTCTTACAAATAGTTTTTAAATGATTTGGGAAAAAAAGTTTACAGTTGCGATATAAATCAAGGAATAAAGTCACAGGAAAAATATTTCTGAAAAAAACCTGGAAATAAAACTTTCGTAAAAAATCCCAATTTTCTGAAGTCCTAGGACAACATGTCACAGGAAATAGAGTCCTGAGTTTTAGATTTTTGGGACTTTTTTTCCTTTGTTCCATGCTTTTCGGGGAATTTTTGTTTAAAAAAGTCCTAGAAAGTAAAATCTCAAAATGGTAGGACTTAATTTTCATAGATTTTTTATCATAAGGATTTTTTCAAAGGACTATATAGTGCCAAAATTTAGGACTTTATTTCAGAAAACTTTTTTGGCGGTTACTGAATCAAGAATGTAAGAAAACCGACCGAATAAATTCCTTGCAGTAGTCTTTAAAGTCTCATCTTTTATATCATAAATTGTGATCTCACGGCTGTGGCGGATAATTTTGTATTTTTTGTGCCCCAAACTCTAATCTTTGAATTCTTTTGGCTTTGCAACCTGTTATCTATAAACCTTTTAATATTTCAATCTTTGACTATTTGATTTAAAATAATTTATAGTTTGAAATGGTTTACTGCATTAGGTCATTGTAAAGCTTATAAAAACAATGCTGTAAAGGACCATCATGCCATTGTGAATTGGGCATTGCCATTTTTGCATAAAGGGTCACTTGAAATTACGCTTCCAGTCCTTAAATTTAAAAATAAAAACTTAAATTCATATGAATAGCTATTTTTTATTTAACACTATTCTCTATGGCTTGAAAATTATGGAAAACATTAATGTTCTGGTTTTTAAGCCTTAACTTTGGAACCTATTTACACCAATTAAAAGAAGATTAATTGTATTTACTATTTTATACTTTTTGGTTGGCCTACATTGGTAGACAATTATATGAATACAATGAAGACGACTTTTTATTTTTAATGATTAAGAAGCTTTTTTTCGAATTACAAGTTTACAAGTACTCAAAGAAAAGCCTTTTTAACTGACTTCTATGTTTTTGTGTAACTATGCTGATAAACAGATTGATATAAATATATAAAATTAATTCCTCCTCGATGTTCCGTGCTGGTCATATCCTGCAGAGAATAGAGATAACGTATTGATCATTGAGAATAGAGATCATGCATTGATCCTCAAATTTTAAAATTTCCCACATCGGATATCGAGCTCAATTTTAACGATCCTCCACGGAAAAGTTCCAGCCAATGGTAAGGCCGCTCAGCAGCTAAACAAATTATGATTGCTTATTTATAAGATCTTATAGTTAAAAAAAAATGATCACTTTAAGAAGAGAAATTCTTCGTGCAGTTAAACTATTTTTTTAGCTTTTCTCTTAAACGTTTTTAGGTGTCGAGAAATAAAGGAAACTAGGCTGCAACAGGGTGTTTCGCACAATTATTTATAAAAATAATTTTGTTACTTCAACCATTTTTCTTAGAGTACACTTCCAAAAATTAACATTAAAAGAATTCGCAGATTTTCTGTTTTCATCAGTGGATTTATTTTTAATTTTGTGACTGGGAAGTCCTGCCAAAACTTTAAACCAGATTAGTTCAGCCAAGCCAATTATATATATATATATAGAGATGCCTTTTTAGCTGAATCCTATTTTATCTTTTCAATATTAGTAAATAATCTACAAATCTAATTTCTATAAGTTGTGAGTTCATTGTCACAANTATAAGAATAAACAATAAATATGTAACTTTCCTTTCATTTTCCTTTTTTAAGAAGTGTGTGAAAATATTCTCAAACATTTATTATATACTTTTCTTTATTATACTGTTGGTCTGTTTGTTTTTGTGTTTGATCATAACTCATGAACCCCTTGACCTATTTGCTTATATAGCTTTGTTTTAAAAATTTAAATTGAGTAGGTCGACTTATTTCCCAGGCAAAGCTGGGTTCCTAACCTATTGGCAAATGGCCCTCTATAAATGGAACTTAAGAAAAATATTGTTATTAAATTAAATGCATGTTACACACATTATATAAAGTTGACATTAAGTCTTTCAGCCTCGGTTAACAGACACACACACACACTCAGACACAGATACAGACACACCAATCGCATGCATGCATGTCGCATGATAACAAAGAAACCTCCAAGGTTAGAACATTGTATTTAGCAATAATGGAATACATGTAGAAAGCAATATTTCTTTTTATTTATTTTCCCACTTCAAAACAAGTTATTTACGTACAGGTTAAAATAACAACTATAGATTAAAGGAATTTCAGACGCATTCTGCCGCTTTTGTGTTCGTTATTACTTTTGGTTTGCAAGCAATAATTTCTGAGAGAACATTTAATTTCAAACCCCTAGGAGGTATTCGGTTCAGCCGCATACATTCATTTCTCAAACATTAAGTTCCAAATAACCAAATTCACCCCTTTTACCCTTTTTACTTCCTTCCATCTTTTTTATTTTTAGATGATTTTATGCTTTTTGCTTTGTATTAGTTAATTGTTAATTTAAAAAAATGTATGTATACAAATTTGGAGAGCCCCAGTCAATCAAAACAACCATAAATGGTAACGCTTTTGCCCTGGCTAGATATCTATCATTTATTTGTAAATTATAAGTTAAAAATGTATTTTTTAAACATTTTGTTGCATAAATAAATCTATCTAACCGGTTTGATAAATGGGTTAATATTTCATTAAATTAAACAGCAGTCCTACGCACGCACTAGCGTGGTTACGTCACTTCTAACACCCCATTTTCTTACCGTGCTATTTGGGCATCACCCATCCCCCCATTCCCACTGCATCTAAACCCATACCCCCCCTCTCTTTAAAGCTGCCCACGTAAGCGGTCAACTCATCTTCTGTTTAAAAGTCAGCGTTGAATCTCTAATCATCAGTATCAAAGATGCAGAGAACTGGAACTAACCACGCCTGGTCTCGTGTACCAGGACAGCAGAACGCCTGGGAGCCTCTTGATTTCTCCGTCAGCGATGTCGTCTTCGACCGTAGGATTGATGAGCCTCAGGAGATAGATTGGTCTACCAATGATGTATCCTTCTCTTCTCCTATGGAGAGAAGAGACAACAGGAATCTCAGGAACGTCAATGATGTATTCTTCTCTTCTCCTAGAGAGAGAAGAGGCAACAGAAATCACATGCACGTATTAAACAACAGGAACCAAAACTCTGGATTAGTTGATCAACGGAACGCCAGGAACGAGGACCAAGGGTTAATAACTCCAAGGTTGCGTTTAGATGTTGTTTCTCCAAGTAGGGAATACGTGAGCTGGCTCCAGGGTCTAGGTAGTCCTCAGCATCCTCCTCCAGCACTTGATGGGATTCCACACAATACTCCTGTAAGACAGGATGCTCTTCTAGCTCTAGCTGTGCAGATCCAAGATGTTGGACCGATAGGTTCTCCTCCCTCAATCTGGGAGGATGGGAATACCCTGAGCTCTGATCCTAGTCCTGTATTTATACCTGGATCCTCTAGTAGTCCTATATCCTGGGAGAACTCCGGGATCAACTATCAGGAGAATAAAGTTACCGAGGAACCCAACCCTAATCTCGATGCTGAACTTGACGCTAAACTAAAAGAAGACGAGGAACTGAACGCGATTGTTCTCAAGATTATCAATTATTAATCTTAATCCTAATTAAGTTTTGCTTGTTGATATAAAAATGTGATCAAGTTGGTCAAAGAAAAAACAATTTTCAAATTGTATATATTTTATAAAATATAATATATAAAATATAATTAAATGTTTATTTTATTTCCAATATAATCATAACATATTTTCAGGTTTACCAGAAACATTTGTTTAAAATTTACGTTTAAGCTGCCTTAGTGATCAGATATTTGAACAATCCTGAGAAAATCCAACCCTGGAATATCTAGGAAAGTTCTACCTATACCTAGATTAACTCTAGGTATAGGTTTACTCCAGACTATTCTCTGAATAGGTCTAGATTAACTCTAGGTATAGGTTTACTCCAGACTATTCTCTGAATAGGTCTAGATTAACTCTAGGATAGTTTAACTCCAGACTATTCTCTGAATAGGTCTAGATTAACTCTAGGATAGTTTAACTCCAGAATATTCTCTGAATAGGTCTAGATTATATCTCTAGGATAGGTTTACTCCTGACTATTCTCTGAACAGGTCTAGATTAACTCTAGGAATACTGACAGCATCTTTGCAATCAACGAGACTATTTGCTCCAGCATTAGTCCGGAAGACCAACGGTTGAATCTAAACATAGATACTCATTACTTCCCGCAAACGCTATTATTTTAATGCCAATATCTTTGATACCGCATCGTGTAAATCTGTAATTTTTCAAACGTTGACTAATTGATTTAGCAGAACTCATAGTTTAAACCATCAAAGGTCTAGGACACCAGGTTGTAAAGATTAAAGATTAGAAAATTTGAGCTTGTGGCGACTAACCAGTTGCTTTGAATTTTGATGCATAGAGTTTTGTTTAAAATTATTGATTTTAAAAAATACAGTGATAACAAAAACCCCTGAAATAGGAAGACTTGTAAATGTTGTTACAATTCACATTGTTTTACAGGACACTTATTGAAAATTTTTAAAGTGAAATGGGTCTGTTTACACTGCACAATTACTGTGTCCCAAGCCCACTTGACTAATTGAAGTAATAACTTGAGTATAAAAGTCGTCTTCCTATTTAAGAGTTTTCTGGTTGTCACTGTATTTAAAACCAGTCCTATCCCAGTCTATTATTGGCAACAGCTAATAATTATTCCTTTTGTAATAATTAATTAGATCTTAAAATGTTAAAATGATCGAAACTTACACAATCCAATTCAGATCTGTTAAAAATACTTTCGGTTGATTTAGATTATCTGTAAAGAATCAAGAATATATTCCCCTGATTAATATTAAATGAAAGTTAAATCTATTCCATTAAATGAAAAGGAATAAAGAGGTTTAAAGTATTTGTTACCTCAGCAATTTTGAAGTTGTCACAAATAATTCTTGCCAAGCTAACCTTTCTCAGTTCATTTACTTGTTCAAAACTAAGAAAATTCATAATAATAAGATAATTAATTATTTAAGCAACTTAAATTAGCTGTATATTATAGCACCGTGCTATAAAGTAATCAAAAGTGCAATAATCTTATATTAGCTGTATATTATAGCATCGTGCTATAAAGTGATCAAGTGCTATAATCTTAAATTAGCTGTATATTATAGCATCGTGCTATAAAGTGATCAAGTGCTATAATCTTAAATTAGCTGTATGTTATAGCATCGTGCTATAAAGTTTAATTGGTTCCCAGATTTTCTTCGAAAATGTATATTCTTTATTTTTCAATACCTAAATCCGTCCTTGTGTTCGTTCTCATAGAAGAACCTGTCCCCACGTTTCAATCTAAAAAAACATTTTTTATTTCTAAATTAAAGGTTAGAGAAATGTGGGAGAAAGAAGGACTACGTCTGATTTATAGAATTAAATTATTTTTTTAAAACCAATTTTTAATTCAAAACGTTTTTTAACTATTCGATATGCTATAATAGTGTTAAAATAAAGTGTAGATTAAAAACGTCCAGTTTACCAAAATGTGCCCACTTTCATGCAAAAAATCTACCAAGATTTTGCCAATTACACCATTTAAACTGAAACTAGACACTAGCATGCAGCTGAAATTCTAATATGTTTAAAAATATCTGTTTATATACCATTATGTGCGAAAGTGATACAAAGGTACTTAGCTTTTGAAACCCAATGTTTTACATAATTGAAATTTCATTCTATGAATTCTGTTGGATCAAATAGTTTAAAATATTAAAGATTTACACGACCAAGTTGCAAAGATTTGGAAATTAAAAAATCCAAGGTTGTGTCAAGATCTTAGTTTTCAAAAAAACTTATTCTAAGAATATTTTTAAGATCTATAGTCGAATAGATCTTTTTCATTTCTCTTTTTAAAAAAAAACGAAACAATGGCTTTAAGAATATTATTTTTACCTTAAAAATTGATCTCCAACAATGCACTTGAAGGTTGGGCCCAGTAAGGAGTTTCTACAAAATTCAAAAAGTTGTCAAAAATATTTTTTTTAATATTGTTTAAAAAATGTATACCTATGTGGCTCTTCCAGCACTCCACCAACAAACAGATCAATATCATTCACATCTTCATAAAGCAGCTTCAGTCGTCTAACAAAAGTAAATTGAGATGTTTTAGACATTCGACCCTCACCCCCACCCATCCCCCTCAAAAAGATGATTGACTTAAATTGCTCATTCTTATTCGCTCACTAGATAGATATATAGATATATATCCATCATCCAGTTAATCCATATTCCTAGCTTACCTAACTTCTTCTATATATTTTCCTAGCTTACCTAACTTCTTCTGCAGATATATATCCATCATTAGCTATAGTTCATCCATATTCCTTGCTTACCTAACTTCTTCTATATATATATCCATCATTAGCTAGTTAATCCATTTTCCTAGCTTACCTAACTTCTTCTGCAGATATATATCCATCATTGGTTAGTTCAGCTATATTCCTAGCTTTCCTAACTTCTTCTGCAGATATATATCCATCCTTGGCTAGTTCAGCTATATTCCTAGCTTACCTAACTTCTTCTGCAGATATATATCAATCATTGGCTAGTTTATCCATATTCCTAACTTACCTAACTTCTTCTGCAGATATATATATCCATCATTGGCTAGTTAATCCATATTCCTAGCTTACCTAACTTCTTCTGCAGATATATATAAAGCATTGGCTAGTTTATCCATATTCCTAACTTACCTAACTTCTTCTGCAGATATATATTCATCATTGGCTAGTTAATCCATATTCCTAGCTTACCTAACTTCTTCTGCAGATATATATCCATCCTTGACTAGTTAATCCATATTCCTAGCTTACCTAACTTCTTCTGCAATTATATATCAATCATTGGCTAGTTTATCCATATTCCTAACTTACCTAACTTCTTCTGCAGATATATATCCATCATTGGCTAGTTCATCTATATTTCTGACGCTTTTGAAGGATCCAGAAGCACACTCTTGTCTGTATCTAAAAATAAACAATTAATAGAAAAACATCTCAGAAAGATTTCTCGAATATATTGCACAAATCAGAGGTGAAGGATAAGACTTGGAAGACAACTGTGCGGAATTTTTATTGTAGTTGGTTCCCATTATTGTAGTTGGTTCCCTTTATTGTAGTTGGTTCCCATTATTGTAGTTGGTTCCCATTATTGTAGTTGGTTCCCATTATTGTAGTTGGTTCCCTTTATTCTAGTTGGTTCCCATTATTGTAGTTGGTTCCCTTTATTGTAGTTGGTTCCCTTTATTGTAGTTGGTGCCCTTTATTGTAGTTGGTTCCCTTTATTGCAGTTGGTTCCCTTTATTGTAGTTGGTTCCATTTATTGTAATTGGTTCCACTTACCGTAGTTGGTTCCCTTTATTGCAGTTGGTTCCCTTTATTGCATTTGGTTCCCTTTATTGTATTTGGTTCCATTTATTGTAGTTGTTTCACTTTATTGCAGTTGGTTCCCTTTATTGTAGTTGGTTCCCTTTATTGTAGATGGTTCCCTTTATTGTAGTTGGTTTCCGTTATTGTAGTTGGTTCCCTTTAATGTAGTTGGTTTCCGTTATTGTAGTTGGTTCCCATTATTGTAGTTGGTTCCCTTTATTGTAGTTGGTTCCCTTTTTTGTAGTTGGTTCCCTTTATTGTAGTTGGTTCCCTTTAATTATGATTCCCTTTATTGTAGTTGGTTCCCTTTAATTATGATTCCCTGCATCTGTAAACTGGTTTCTTACTTTGCCCAGGCATTAAATATCAAATAAACCATTTAAAGACAATTTTTGTAAAACAGAATATTTGAATTCAACCATGAGATCGTCATATTTTATAGGTTTCAGGGGGTTTTTCCAGTATCTTTTTTTCAGTTAAAAACAAATTCTAAACAATTTATCAACGATTTCTTCAATTTTTTTATATCAGATTTCTCTATCTTTATCTATTGATATACTCTGCTTGTCCCTTTGTCTTTCCGTTTGTCTGTCTGTTTGTCTGTCTGTTTGTTGAACCGATCGGGCCCAAACTTGTGTGGGACCTCACATGACCTCAGAAGTAAGGTTGTGGATCATCACAATATATCACAAAATCTTAAAGGGACTGTAGGTCCTGTAGGTCCTGTAGGTCCTGTAGGTTTATGTGAACCTCCATCTATGAAAGGGAATGCCCGATTCACAATAGTACCCTTTAAACCTTCGTCCAAACAAAAATCATTACTCTGTTTTCATATTTTTAATTTTGATTTCTCTATTAAATTACTTGCGGATTTATGCTTCAGAATCAATGAACTTTAAGAATTCAGCATTTTTTATTCGTGTTAAAAGCTACTTTATTTTTGCTTGATAGATAAAGACTGACAGTGTATTACTGTAAATGCTTTAGATGAAGGGTCTCTTATAATCACACCTACGGTCCATTTAATTATATAATTTTAACCAAAAAAATTCTGTTTTGAACCTGTTGTATCCTGGCACTCCCCTCTCCCTTCCTCGCTGTATATTGATACTCATTAGATCCAGACCACCAGCCTTATATACAACAATTATATTATTATTATTATTATTATTATTATTATTATTATTATTATTATTATTATTATTATTATTATTATTATTATTATTATTATTATTATTATTATTATTATTATTATTATTATTATTATTATTATTATTATTATTATTATTATTATTATTATTATTATTATTATTATTATTATTATTATTATTATTATTATTATTATTATTATTATTATTATTATTATTATTATTATTATTATTATTATTATTATTATTATTATTATTATTATTATTATTATTATTATTATTATTATTATTATTATTATTATTATTATTATTATTATTATTATTATTATTATTATTATTATTATTATTATTATTATTATTATTATTATTATTATTATTATTATTATTATTATTATTATTATTATTATTATTATTATTATTATTATTATTATTATTATTATTATTATTATTATTATTATTATTATTATTATTATTATTATTATTATTATTATTATTATTATTATTAAATTACTCACATCCTTATATAGAATAATGTAATCTATTTAAAATGTATATAGTATATACAAATACATTATATATCATTTTCAACTTTTTTTCATATTTAAATATATCTAAATCTGAAATGTTTAAATATATATTTTCCAAGACAAAATGTTTCATGGGTCTGACCCGATTAATATATCTATATTAATATCTAAAATGTCCTAGTTATTTGTACTTTTTAAAGAAAGACAGCACATAATTACATAAACAATTTCTTCAAAGAAGTAATTTAAACAGCTTTACACTGGTTAAAACTGGTTAAAACTGGTTTAAACTGATTTAAGCTGGTTTAAACTGGTTTGAAATGTTTTAAATTGGTTTAAACTGGTTTAAACTGGTTAAAACTGGTTTAAACTGATTTAAACTGGTTTAAACTGGTTTGAAATGTTTTAAACTGGTTTAAACTGGGTCGAAACTGTTTAGAACTTGCTTAACACTGTTTTAGACTTGTTTTAGCTAGCTAAAACTGGTTTAAACTTATATTAAACTGGTTTAAGCTGGTTTAAGCTGGTTTTAACTTGTATTAAACTGACCCCCTGGTCTTCGAAGAGATGATTTACAAGATCGTCAGTAAACACTTGATCCCTCTCAGCAGCCGAGTTTCTCGTCGCTCCTCTGAAATTATCAAAACTTACTTATTTATAAAAATATTAAGCATTAAGGTCCATTTTTAACAGTTTTAGCTTTTTAAATGTTGCTTTTCAAGTCGAAATTGTGTGATAAGAGTAAGGGGGGATAAAAATACAAAATCGGTCCAATTGGTTCAGCCGTTTTAACGTTGATAGGGTATACAATTTTAAACAACTTTTTTCGAATTGTGAGCTCATGCATGTTACAAGTTACAACACGAAGAAATGTATATTTTTCGTCAGGATTAATATAACTTATATATAGATATGAGACTTTGATCTTGTCTTTAATATTTTACACTTAACCTTGGACAAAAACAACGCATGATATTGGAAATGTTGACAATTCTTTCTATCTAAAATTCTTCAACAACTAAGCATCCAGGCCGCTTCGATTTTGACTTTTAATTGTGGCTCTATCTGTGATATTTTCTCTTCTTAAATTATCAAAAAATAACAAACCAAATTTCGCAGATTTGTAAATTTTTTTGTAAATTTTAAAAATCGGAAAAATGGTCTAATTTTTTTTTAAATTCTAACCATCCATAAACTCTCCCTGTGGTTCTGTGAGATCTCACAAAAAATTCGGGTCCGATCGGGTTAGCGGTTTAGACTTTTATTAGATACAAACGGTCAGACACGCAAAATGTATACATATATATACGTTTAACATATTTTAAACTTTTATTATTACCTAAGTGAGTTTTCCACAAAGCCTGACTGTCTGATATTATTTGCGTTGTTAAAAACTGTTTTCAGATCAACAGAGTTTGTATTACGTCCTCTAGAAGAAATATATTTAGTTAAAGGGTGCCGAAAAAACGTTAGTTAATGCAAAAACCTAAATTTTTTATTTCCGGTTTTGGACATTATCCTAAATTTGCGAATGTATGTTTTTCTGGATTGAAAAGTGTTCAATTCTGAAAATTATCTCCATTGTTTCTGTAAGCAGAAATCCGAAAGTCGCTTTTAAGAATAACCCACATTTCAAAATTATCAAAATTTCAAAGAGAAAAACATGGATCATTTATACTGGATCACTAGAGGGTCACTTGAATTCATGTTTACAACTCCTGTAAATGAAGAAAAAGATGATTTTGTAGTTAGATTATATGAGATTCCGTGTAAATATCAAAATGTCCAAAAAACAGAAATCATTCAAAATTTTTGGTGTACACTCTATGCAATGTTTAAACATTAATAGATTTTTAAACATTTAAAAGAATATTCTTTTCTAATTATAATTGGAAAGATTAGAAGGAGGTAAAAATGGTTATTTTGCCAAAACAGATCAATGATCATTTAAAAAATGTTTATTTTTTATCTTTACCTATCACTAACTTGTCCTAAAGTGCTTTTCACCATAGTGTGACCAAACCTTAAATATATATATTTGTTGAATCGAGAACAGACCTCACTGAAGATTGGTCCATTTCAATTGGTCCTTGAAACATTGGGAATGAGGATTTTTATTCTTTATCTATTTCTTTTATTGAATAATAAATTGATTATTTATTGAATCATTTTTTGTCACAAATATAATTATCTTAAGGCTCATTAGGAATCTGAGGAAAAAAATTTTAATTTGAAGAAAAAAAACATTTTCATTTTTCCTGGTTTTCTCATTAATAATGGGGCTGGGAAAAAATTCCGTAAACGATACGAAGGTTTTCGAAAATTAACAGAAGAGTCCGTTAACGTACGGCAAAACCGTTAATTTTTAAATCGGTAACGAAATGGATTGGCCGGTTTTTAAAAAAAACTTAACGGTTGAAAACGAAAAGGAAACGGATTTTTTTGAAGCGGTGAATTTCGTTTTTAAGGTTGAAATTGCATGAAACTTGTGAAAAAAAAGTGTTTTGATGTTTTTAAATGTCGTCTTCAGTGTTAAAAAACCATCGACGATTTAAAAACGTTGCACCGTTAACACTGTTAATACTGTAATTTATCATTAATGGCTTTGCCATCAATAAAATTGAGATTAACAGTAACTTGTTTAAAAAAAAAAAAATACCGTTAACGAAAAGAAGGTTTGTTCTTATACCCTCTAAAACTAAAGGCTACCTGAGATTTCATTTTAAAATTGGTTGGAACTAACCATTAACAAAAACGGCTTGAAATAGTTGGGACGTGCCCAGTCCTAACTAATGATACTTCTTCAGCTAAAAAAAGGATAACACGAATTTTAAGAAAAATTATAAATAAAAAGAACAATGTATATATAACATAAACATAAAGCAATAAGGAATACCGGAAAGCCGCTGCAGCAAACTCATTTGTCACTCTTGGATCCATGCTGGGATCGTAGTCCTAGAAAAAAGGATTACATTGTAGATTAATCCTAATATTACGGATACAATGTGGATTGATTAGGGATTGCAGAATGGACTTGAATAGGGATTATAATGTGGATTATAGCCCTGGAATAGGAATCACAATATGGATTATAATCACGGAATCGGGATTGCAACGTGGATTATAATCCTAAAACATGGATTACAATTTGTATTAAAATCATAGAAGAGGGATTACAATATGAGTTATAATCCTAGAATTGGGATTACAATATGGATCATAATTTTAATGTAGGGATTACAATGTAATCATAATTCTAGAATAGGGATTAAAATATAATTTTAATTCTAGAATAAGAATTACAATCTGGATTATAATCCCAGTATAAGGATTACAATATAATCCTTGAATAGAGATTACAGGATGGAATAGAAAAAAAGGATTAAAAGATGGCAGAAAAACAATGGACGAATTGATTAAAGGAAAAATTTGAATAAATAAATGAATGAAATTATTTATGTGTAGATAAATGACAGATGTAAATGAATAAGTATATAGATAAATGAATAGATAAAAGATTCAAATGAATAAATGATTAAGTAGATAGATAAATGAACAAATTAAATATTCAACTGAATAAATTAAAAGTTCAAATGAAATGAATAAATGAATAAGTAGATAGATAAATCAATAAATTAGAAAAATGAATAATTTCTTTTTTAAATATTATTAATATTTACTGTGAGTAGAGGACTGCCTGGTGAGAGAGGAAGCAGACCGAACACCTAGACATTATTATTCAAAGGGATTGTTAATCCATTTTAAAAGGTTTATACAATTACAATTGTGTTTTTTTAAATTATTAAGACCTGCATATACTCTGGACCAAGAGCCAGGGGTAGCCATTCATTATATATAATATGCTGCCATTCAGCAATATTAATCCGCCTAGATTCCTGGAACACTTTCTCCTGGGGCCAGCTTGGGTTTATACTGGATAGTTCCTCAGCTAGTCTGTTATGTTCCCTACAATATATATTCTTGGAACTCTATATAGTTCCAGCTTAGGTTTAAACTTGATAGTTCCTGAGCTAGTCTATTATGTTTTATACAATTTATTTACTTGGAACCCTAAATAGTTCCAGCTTGGATTTATACTGGATAGTTCCTCAGCTAGTTTGCTATGTTCTCTACAATAATTGTACTTGGAACACTATATAGTTCCAGCTTAGGTTTAAACTAGATAGTTCCTGAGCTAGTCTATTATGTTTTATACAATTTATTTACTTGGAACCCTATATAGTTCCAGCTTGGGTTTATACTGGATAGTTCCTGAGCTAGTCTGCTATGTTCCCTACAATATATATACTTGGAACAATATATACTAGTTTCAGCTTAGGTTTATACTGAATAGTTCCTGAGCTAGTCTGTTATGTTTTATACAATATATTTACTTGGAACCCTATATAGTTCCAGCTTGGGTTTATACTGGATAGTTCCTCAGCTAGTTTGCTATGTTCTCTACAATATATGTACTTGGAACACTATACAGTTCCAGCTTGGGTTTATACTGGATAGTTTCTAAGCTAGTCTGTTATGTTCGTTGGAACACCGCTCCTGGCACTTTTAGATATAAAACATTTTTTTAGTCGGAAAATCGCATTTAATATCATAATGAAATTAACTTTACGAATTGTAAGTATAAATCAAAGGAACTGTTGTAGTAATCAAGTGACCCTCCATTTAGAGAAGTACATGTCAAATTTACAACAGTACCCTGTAAACCTCTACTTGATCAAATATATGGAAGATACCGTCGTTGAGAAGTGTTTAATTCTGATCATTTCCTTCCATTGACGTAACAAAGCATTAATGGTAAGTTGTTGATCGGACCTGCCACTCTATAAATGGTAATTTCCTTGAAATTACGAGATACTTCCCTTTCATAGATTTACTGAAATTTACCTAATCCATGTTAAATGTTCCACTGTAAGACCAGGCTGCTCGCTAGCCCTAGAAATTAATATAAATCAAAGTTGTTGGTTTTAAGGATGAAAATACTAACAAAGGATTGTTTACACACAAATGTTTGTTTACAAACAAAGGTTTGTTTACAAAAAATGGTTTGTTTACAAACAAAGGTTTTTTTACAAACAAAGATTTGTTTTCAAACAAAGGTTAGTTTACAAACAAAGGTTAGTTTACAAACAAAGGTTTTTTTACAAACAAAGGTTTGTTTATAAACAAAGGTTTGTTTACAAACAAAGGTTTGTTTACAAACAAAGGTTTGTTTACAAACAAAGGTTTGTTTACAAACAAAGGTTTGTTTACAAACAAAGGTTTGTTAACAAACAAAGATTTGTTTACAAACAAAGGTTTGTTTAAAAACAAAGGTTAGTTTACAAACAAAGGTTTGTTTACAAACAAAGTTTTGTTTACAAACAAAGGCTTGTTTACAAACAAAGTTAGTTTACAAACAAAGTTTGTTTACAAACAAAGTTTTGTTTACAAACAAAGTTTTGTTTACAAACAAAGGCTTGTTTACAAACAAAGGTTTGTTTACAAACAAAGGCTTGTCTACAAACAAAGGTGTGTTTACAAACAAAGATTTGTTTACAAACAAAGGTTTGCTTCCAAGCAAAGATTTGCTTCCAAGCAAAGATTTGTTTACAAACAAAATTTTGTAAAAAGCAAAATTTTGTTTACAAACCAAAAGTTTGTTTACAAACAAAAGTTTGTTTACAAACAAAAGTTTGTTACAAAAGTTTGTTTACAAACAAAAGTTTGTTTGCAAACAAAAAATTGTTTACAAACAAAAGTTTGTTTACAAACAAAAGTTTGTTTGCAAACAAAAAATTGTTTGCAAACAAAAAATTGTTTACAAACAAAAGTTTGTTTACGAACAAAGGTTTGTTTACAAACAAAAGTTTGTTTGAAAACAAAAGTTTGTTTACAAACAAAAGTTTGTTTACAAACAAAAGTTTGTTTACAAACAAAAGTTTGTTTACAAACAAAAGTTTGTTTACAAACAAAAGCTTGTTTACAAACAAAGTTTGTTTACATAAAAAGAGTTGTTTACCAACAAAGATTGTTAAACAACGATTAATTTACAACTATTTTTTGTTTGTTTTACAGCAACAAAAGAAATAAGTGTTTACCTAAAGTCTCCTGAAAATACACAGTTTCTACTGGGTTCAGCACACACCTCCTCACAGCCCATTGGTCTCTCCCGCCGAGACTAAATATTTTAAAACTAAAACTTTACAATCTGTTAATAGTGGTCGTCACCATATTCTAGAAAGCAGCACCCATAGATCTAGACGGCTATGAAAAGCTGCATAAATTATTAAGACTGGGTCGAGTTTAAAGTGTCGCAACAACTTGGCCATTTATTTAACCTTACTTACTAGTTTATACTGTTTTGTAGTCGTAGACTTGTAAAACATAGAACTGTAAACCAATTGTTCTTAGCTTTAGTTTTAAAGAAGTAGTTGGAAAAACACTCATTGATAAATCCGTGAGAGCTTGCAACCTTTGGAACATTGTGAGCACCTAATCCTCTCCTAGCCGTAGCGCTTGCTCGGCTCCAATCTTTCCTAAGCTTGTCATAGCCACAGCACTTGGCCCAGATATAATTTTAAACATTATCTCATTAATAATAGCTGCTGACAATTAGTTTAGTTTTAAACTGTATTTTGCGTGTACAAAAATGTTAGAAAAAAACTTTACAATGAATGAGCCTGAATTTATTATATCACTAATTTTACCCCATGGTGATTCGAATCCAGGATTATCTTTTAACCCTAAAAAGAAATAAAATGATTCAATATTAAAAAAATCTTTACGTAAAAAAATCCCGTTCTGGTTCTAGAAACTATAAGAAGATGAGATGACTTACTCTGGGACAGCTGGGTGGTAAGGATTCTCCAGTACTGGTTCTAAACACTAGAAGAAGATGACTTACCCTGGGATAGCTGGGTGGTAAGGATTCTCCAGTACTGGTTCTAGACACTAGAAGAAGATGACTTACCCTGGGACAGCTGGGTGGTAAGGATTCTCCAGTACTGGTTCTAGACACTAGAAGAAGATGACTTACCCTGGGACAGCTGGGTGGTAAGGATTCTACAGTACTGGTTCTAAACACTAGAAGAAGATTACTTACCCCAGGACAGCTGGGTGGTAAGGATTCTCCAGTGCTGGTTCTAGAAACTAGAAGAAGACGACGATCCTGGGGATCCCGAACATCTTCGAATTCTTCCTAAACCATCAAGGATTAATATTGATCCGTATTTTAACCATTTAAGGATTTTGGGATATCAGATTGATCCGCAATTACAGGTCAATAATCAGTCAAAGGTTTAATAGGTACCGTTATGAATTAGGGATGTCTCTTTTTATATAGAGTTTCACTTGAAATTACGCTCACAGTCCCTTTAATAATTGTTTAAACAAATATATTTCTGTGTACCTCTGTACTCCCATATGTATTACTCAAATCTATCCAATGAGTCAACGAGTTGATTTGTTCACGTTGCCCTGAAAATTAAAGAAAAATTTAAAAGACGTTTGCATTTTGCAATAATATACAAAAATTATCCATAGTTTTGTATCAATAAATCAAAGAAGTAACTATTATTATTATTATCATTTGCGAATTAGTTTTTATTCTCAAAATCAAGCATAAACAGTATTTTTTTAATATATTTTGTGACACCCCCATTCCATAACTTTTAACGTAAAAAAGTAATTTATCTAAAAGATCAAGACACAAATTGGGGGTTAGTAGGAAAACAATCTGTTATATAAGAATGAAATTTCAGTTGCCTGACTGCTTTCAAGCGAGATGACTTATCCCACATAGATTCAGCCTGCTTACACCCCGTCTCAATCAATTTTTAAGACAGGGTCGACTTTATAGTGTCGCCTTGTGTTTAGATTTTACCGCTCTAACAAACTTATGCTTTTCTGTAAGCTTTAGTTTCTAGGAAGTAATTGGCAAAATTATCATTGATTATAGCTTGATCCTATGTGGTCCCAGAATTACAGCTCGAGAATCGCTGAGTTTAGTTACACATCTTGTATCCTGCAGGGGAAGCAAGAATTGTACATAGATTAAAACAAAACTTCATCTTTAGCTTGGTCCGCTGAAAGAGGAGTTAAACTCCTCGTGGGAATACAAGCCATGCACAACGATATTGGTTTTTTAGTCTACCAGATGTGAGGACTGAACTGCTATGGAAGATACCTCTCAAGAGAGCTTTCAGGGATCACAACTCCCCATTTTGCATAAGGGGTGCAGTTATGGGTTTCCTTAATCCCCCTTAACTGGGAAACAGTATATAATGAAGGAACACAGGGAGAAATCCACTATACCCTTCTTCCTACAAACCTCCTTATCTCTCTCCTACCTGCTCCACACCTTGATGTCAAAAGAAAATATGTGTAAAACAAGAAACAGGAAGCAAGAAGAAAAAAGAAATTGATTTGAAAAAAGTGGAAGGGAAATCTCTTGACAGCAGAGATGGGGGCTTAAAACAAGACCAACAAGAAAGAATATGAAAACTTTGAACAGGAAAATTATAAAGGGATTTGAGCTTTACACTATCTAAATTTTTTCACCGATAGCGAATGAAGACAAATACACAGGATGGCAGATGTTCCGTCCCCCCCTCTATGTCCTGCTTGAAATAAAAAACTAGAAAATGTGTAGCACGCCCCATACACCCAACCTCCAAGAAAATATCATGGAAGTGTGTAGAAAAGTAGATTATGCAAGCTACATGTGTTATAGCTGACTCAAACAAAATAAAAAACAAAACAAGATGAGAGAGTAGTGACCTTGCTCTCCTAAGAATTGGTCTGTGATACAGGGCTCAGAAAGAAAAGTTCTTTTTCTTGCAATTTGGCTAGCTGCAGGATCATCCAAAAAATTTATTTGTTTTTATTTTCAAAATTAGTCAAAGTATGATTGAAGGATGAAGGTGGAATAGATGATCAAGAAGAAAGAATGAAAAACAGGAAATATAGAAGTCTCAAAATGTTTCCATCTGATATCATTTAGAAATTTTAAAATATTGTAAAATTTAATTAAAATAAAAAAAATTATTAAAGTAAAATAAGAATGAAATTTTCAAAAGTCGTTCAATAGACTTTTTACCTGCTTTACATTTTAGGGTCGGAGAGAAGAGATTTCTTGACAACTCAATACATTCTCGTCCTTTATATTCAAACATTATGTTGTAAAATAACAATATTAAAGTGGCAACTTCCCAAATGTGCAATTTCCCAAGCGGCAACTTTCCAAGTCTATCCTAGCTGCAGTGCTCTGCCCCCCAGTCTATTCTAGTCGCGGCACTTGGCCCCTAGCCCATCCAATCCGAAACGCTCAGCCCCCATTGCAGCCTGCGGTGCCTCAGAGGGCCTAACCTTACCATTGGAAAGTTGCTGCTTGGAAAATTGCACATTTGGGAAGTTGCTAATTGGGAAATTGTCACTTGTGAAGTCGCCCTTGGGAGAAAAGCCTTTGTGAAAGTAACTAACATCGCGCAGGGTACTCATAGTTACTCCCACCGTTTACCTGCAGGAGAAGCTACAACCTTGGGAAAAATGGGGTTTAAAAATTGTAAAAATGGGGTGAAAAATTGTAAAAATGGGGTAAAAAGATGTAAAAATTGGGTTGAAAATTTTAAAATGGGATTAAAAATTGTAGAAATGAGGTTGAAAATTGTAAATTTGAAAATTGTAAAAATAGGGTTAAAAACTGTAAAAATGGGGTAAAAATGTAAAATAAAAGTTACCTCGAGGTCCCCAGAATGAATCATTGCTGGGTACTCGAATGGGAACACAATCAGGGTGACGAGGAGTTGATGGGAAATTCCAATGGAATCCTGAAGAAAAACTGATCACTTATTGCCTCAAACTTTATTTTACCCTGTATCTTAGCAACTTTTGGTGTAAACATTTGATTTTTTAAACTTTAATCATTTGATCCAGCAGAACGCTTAGTTATATCAATTGGTCTACAACAATTTTTTTCCGATAAAACTTCCAATTGCGTTACTGCGTAAAATAGAAATTACTTATTGATAAATGCAGCAGCAAAAAAATGACAAAATCATATCTTAATCAGGTTTACATTGGGAGATAATTTGAATCCCATTCATGAATATCACAAAGATAATATTTTAGATTTAAAATTTGGAGTTGATGATAATACTAGGGTAAATAAAATAGGTGTTAATAATTCCACTTAAAAAAAATATTTTTGGGTTTTAGACTTGCCTTGTGAGTTCTTGTCGCAGCAGTCCACAGCAACTACAGGGGTGTGAGCAAACTCATGATCAAGGAATTGACCAAACTAAAACAAAAACGGTAAACGTGTTGTCATACAGTCTTCGCCGTATATATTAATACAATGTAGACAACTTTCGCTTTCATTTTTTACTTTCAAAACGCATGGATACATACAAACATGAAAACAAAGAGAAGCTGTCAATTGACAAGTTCTATTTGTCTCAAAAAAATATATAAGACGACTTCATTGTATTGATATAAACACCGACCAATGAATCATAAATTTTATTCAAAAAGTTTACCAGCACAGGTCGATATCAAAGGTTCAATTCTTTGTGGGTCACCTTTGTGGTTTACCCTGTATCAGTTTACAGATCACCCTGTATCAGTATGTAGAATACCTGTACAAATAGTTCAGATATCTGAAATTGGTTTGGAGGATCTCCTGTAGAGAATATAGTAGTAGTTACAGACCTAGCTCCGGGTAGTTCTTCACCTCTACTGTTCTTCCTAGAATACATTTATTTTCCTACAGGGTGTCCCAATAAACATGGGAAATTCAGTGATAGCTTTGACATCGTCTTTGATCCATTTTTTCGTGAACACAGTTATTGCAGTATTCCAGCTTAAACTTCTAATTTCAAAAACGCTCGGTCTTGAGATTTTCAAAACGTGGTCTACCATTTTTGTATTTTCTAAATTGACAGAGAAATTGCAAAATGTGTACAAAGTTCAATCTATTTAATACATCAAAATTGTCTTCTTATCTAATAGTTTCGTCAATTTTTAAGATATAAGAAAGGTATATATAGACCACTTTATGAAAAGCTCGTCAGACGTACAGCCTCGTTTTTTTTACTTTCTTCGCCATGCATTCAAAATCAGAAGTTAAAGACGACTTTCAAGTTCTCTCTAAATTTCCATATTCATTGGGACACCCTTCCCTGTACAGTAATGTCGTCTTCCTATACAAAGAATTACTACACAAGACCCGATGAAATTAAAATTTTTCTTGACCAATCTGTTAAAAATTGTGGGTAAACTTAAATTTGACATACATAGGTCCTGAGCCAACAATTTAAAAATTTAGGCTTGTTCTGTAAATCCTTAAACCCGACTTTTAGGCATCTTCGACCCAACTCTTACGACAGCTTGTGTCACGTGATTGACAGCTGAAAGATCTTCGGCTCGACTCAATTGAAAATATAACCGACCTTGGTTAGTTTTAGTGGAGAATAAGGCTCAATGTTGAGTCATGTTCTCATCAAAACCCGGAATGCGCCAATTCCTGCCATGAAAATCCGCCAAATAGAATATTAAACCGGTTTTTTTTAAATTTTAACTCCGTTTAAATTGAATCCGAAAGCTCAAGCCGTAAATAAGGCCCAACGACAGCTTAGACCCGAGCCGTATTTTCCCGAATTTTTAAATCACAGGCTCAGGATAACATTTTCTCTGTTTTTGTTAATAAATTTATGGTTTCACTATCGTTTCTCGTCATCTAAAGTCTACCACCTCAGAATATTATCCTTGACTTATATTTTTATTTTCTAATTGTGAAAACCCTAATTGCAAAAATGGATTTTAAAAAATGGTTGATTTTGTATCATTAGAGTTGACGGACAATTTCTCAATCTCTTAAGTCAATTTAGAAGGAGCAAAAAAGATAGACCACATTTTCTAAACCCAAAGGTTAGAAGTTTTTGATATTTTACCTTGGTTGAAGGCCTGGTGAATATTCAGGAGCAACAATTCTTTGAAAAGGTGTACCTAAAATAATTCTTTGAAAAGGTGTACCTAAAATAATTCTTTGAAAAGGTGAACCTAAAATATTTCTTTGAAAAGGTGGACCTAAAATAATTCTTTGAAAAGGTGTACCTAAACTATTTTTTGAAAAGGTATTTGTAATAAAAAAACTTAGTATAGGAAAAGATATGACATTATTATTTTAAATTTAATTTTTTGGTTTAAAAACAAAAAACTTTCCGTTCCATGTAAAAAATCAAGTTGATGAAACTTCTAAAAGAACTCTAGAGATTTTAAATATAAGTACATAGTTAAATACAATGCTGTTTAAAATCAACCAAAGACGTTTGTCCAGGGAGGGGGGGGGGCCTTATTTTTTTTTCTTTCCAGTGGGATGAGTGTGGTGGAATCCCTAGATTTCACTGATGAGCTGAGCCCCAATAGCCCCTGCCCCCCCGTCCTGTGATTGTGTTATGCCTAACATAAACTTACTTGCCATCCCGTAGATAGGTGATCTAATATTGTTACAGCTTCCATCAATAGTTCTGTATTCTCTACCCACTACAAACAAATAAATGTAAAAGAAGCTGAAAGATAAATAAAGGGACTGGAAACGTAACTTAAAGTTTCAATTTATAACGTGGCATGTCTGATACACAACAGTACCCTAAAGCACTTGGTCTCATCAGAAATGCGAGAATGAGATATCCATAATTTTCCGTTTCAACTGTGATTTCTTTATATAGTGACTCGCGTTAATTTAGGCTTTAGAATATGGAGAAAATTGTTAGAATTAAAATCTGCTCAAGCAACAGAGCGTCCCATATCATATAAGACTTTCTCCAATCTTTAACGCCAAATACACATATAATACTCGAAAAATCTAGCATTTTCTGCAAGAAAAAAATCTATTAGCCTTATTAAATTTTTCAAAATGATTCGTTCTTCTGAAATTTTCTGATTTGTCCCCTAAATCGTAATTTAGACCCTAAATCGTAATTTAGACCCATTGACGCGGTCTAATTTGATGTGGGACACCCTGTAGAAAACGACGAAATCTTCCACATAATTGATCAGATAAAAGTTTCAAGGGTGCCTTGGTGATTCTGACATGTTTCCTCTTTAAATGGAATGTCACATTTGATCAACAACGACATGATGATCATTTTTGATTTAAATTATTTAAAAAAGTTAATTTAAAAGTAGCCGTGTACGTCTTCATAAAATTCTTTGTACAGTTAACCCCTAAATGAGCCATATATCGAAAGAATTTATCAAATGTCGTCTTGACAATTGTTCTATGGGTTTTTTACTATTTTACATAAATCTCAGTATTTGTGAAAATAAATAAATAGCCATGAATATGCGGGAACAGTTTTAAAGAGTTCCATATAATCATTTAATTAAAAAACTAATTATTTGCAACATTCCATTATCAGAGAGTGAAGAATAAAACATTTGATGGATTATTTAGTGTTTGATTTAATGTTGATATTGAAGCAATTTTGATTCTTCAACAAATTGAAATCTGGATAAAATTCAATTATTTATCCCCATCAATATTGAGTGTTCAAAAAAGGGAGACCTCATTTTTAAAATTTCAAAAGACTTCGAGTTGTTATTGTTTAAAATGAACTTATACTAGTATACTGTTATTGTGTTCATGAAAAATGCTGCGTCACATTAATCTTTCTAGAATAGGGTATAGGCTGTATGTGTATTGTGTACTGTACTTGCGTTAGGTCCTACAAATCAGGCCGGTACATTAAATGCACCAAAATTTTCAGTGGCGTGGCGTGGATTAAGGACGACATCCCCCAACCTATAACAAACCTGTTCTAGGGCAGTTAGGTTTCCTTCCAGCTGGTTTGTTCTGTGTCCAAGGACAGAGTCCGTCAATATCAACGCTGTTAGTTGAATCCAACCCTTCATCATCGGCTCGTAAACTAAAATAAACTTTATATCCCTGATCGCTACATTATTTTCCTCCCCATCTCATTTTTAGAGCATCAATTTATTGTTCTAGTCGGTTTTAAACCGGGACAATTAATAAATTTGGACACTTTATTATCCCAGCTGGCAACTTTATTGTCCTGGATGGATGTTAAGCATTAATGATGTTTACAAAAAGAAAAAGTACTAGGAATATTTTTAAACGCATGCATTAAGGCTGAACTTGATAATTCACACAAAATCTAAAATACCGGCATTAACTTTTAGTAATTTTTTTAAATAAAAAATTTAAAAGATATTTGAATAAGAATTGCTTGAAATAGGGGCTCCGAAAGTGCATTTTATCTTGACTCTAAGACAGATTTTAATAAAAGAGGGAGTCCGGCTGTACCAGATTCAGTCTTTTTGGAGTCAATTTTGATTTGACTTTTTATTACAAAAATAGTTTACCTTAGGGTAACACCATCTACATCGTTTAGCCGAGAAAGCTTGAGAGCTGCATCATAAATTGCCTGAAACGCAAGAGTTAAAGAGAAAGCTTGAGAGCTGCATCATAAATTGCCTGAAACACAAGGGTTAAAGAGAAAGCTTGAGAGCTGCATCATAAATTGCCTGAAACACAAGGGTTAAAGAGAAAATTTGACTAATTTCGAGTAACGCTTAATTTAAAAAGCTTTACATCTCCGAATCCAAACTTTATATCCTCTATCGAATTTTTCTGTCTCAAAAAGATGAAAATATGGTTGCATAAAACAACAAATCAGTGTTGAGACTCGAGCATACAGCTCCTTAAAGGGATCTCCGCGGGCTATGAAACATATTTGAACTGGGAATGCAGTATTGTAGAGAAGTTTTTCTCTACTAGATACTGAATTCTCAGTTCAAATATGTCTCTCCCTTTAAATGAAGGGTCACCTGAAATTAATTCGACAGTCCCTTTAAGGTAAATTAAATCATAATTTTTTAATAAAATGTTAATTACCTGATCAGATGGCCGTACTTGGTTGATAAGTCGAAAAGCCTGAATAAAAGTTAAAGATTGAAAGATATTTTTTACTTTTTTTACCCTATGAGAAATCACAATTTATTCACTCAAAACGATTTAGATAAAAACAATATAAATGTTTTCCTGCTTCAATTTTTTGCTATGCTAAAGTTATGTAAAAAAGTATTCTTTTTGGGAGAATAAGAAGACTTTCTTTTAGAAACTTCAATATAATATACAGGGTGTCCCAAAAAACATGGGAATTCAGTGACGAATTTGATATCGTCTTTGTTATGAATTAGCATTGTAATACCTGATTTCAAAAGCCATAATATTGTTATGTCTGCTAGAGTTTATTTTATGAAAAGGGTAAAAGACTGTAAAAATGTAACTTTAATGTCTCCGTAAGATGTACAGTGAAGACGGATAAGTTTACTCTGTTTGTATACTGCAATTTTCTTGTTTTACTAAGTACAACCGTATGCAGTCAAAACATAAACAAACAAAATGTGAACATAGCAGACGAAACTCTTACAGATTACAGGTTTCTCAGTAGGTATCACTATACTAAATCAAAAAATTATTTAAAAAGACGATATCGAATTCGTCACTGAATTCCCATGTTTTTTGGGACACCCTGTAGATTTAGGTCAGAACATTATTAGGTCAAATACAGGTCCGTCTCACCTTGACATCTTGATCCCCCTGTTTAGATCCATCCGAGAATATCGGAGATCTTGGAATCTTACTGATTTCTGCTCTGACAGATGCAGTGTTTACTCCGCTAGGTACTCGGAGACGTGTGTTAGAATCATCCTCTCTATAACGCAAAACAATTTTATTAAAATCTTAGTAATTTAAAATCAAACAACTCACATTAAATTGCTACAGCTCATCCTAAATCCCGGCTCCCTAAATAATCCCCGAGATACCTCCAAAACCCCTAGGATTCTCAAAAATCCCTGAAAAACATCAAAACCAGTAATTCAACAACTCTAGGAATCTTCAAAAATCTTTAAGATTCCTAAAAGATTCCTAAGATCCCACTATAACCCCTGGGATCCTCAAAACTCCCTGAGAACCCTCCAAATCCCTTGGGATCCCTCCAAACTCTTGGGATCCCTCCAAAACCCTTTGGAATGCAACGACCTCTTGGGATCCTCCAAAACCCTTAGGATACCAAGAAACCCTTGTGATCCCCCAAGATCCTTTCGATCCCACCAAACCCTTTGGATCCCACCAAACCCTTTGGATACCAACAATCCCTTGGGATCCCTCCAACATCCTTTGGACCTCACCAAACACTTGGGGATTCCTCCAAAACTTCTGGGATCCCTCACAACCCTGAGAGCATGCACTTAAGGGGGTTGTTTTTTCTTTGACCGTTGACAGCTTAACATATAAAGTATTTCTCACAATCCATTGAAAATTAAAAAAGAGTTAATTACAAATAATAAAATAAAAAATAAACTTTTTCTTGAGTAAAAGTAATTACCGTTCAAAGTAGTAAACAACCCTTAACTTCTTCTTTTATCTTTATAATTGCTACAGCTGGCCATACGGCTGAACCAAATCGGCTGAATTTTTTTAAACAGAACCCATGGATACCCTGGGAGTGACATATAGGCTAAAAAATTATTGGCTTATTTTTAATTCGACGAGCACTGCTAAAATCATGATTTAAGATCAATTGCGGGTAAACGGCGGAGCAGGAGGAACTCTGAGTAACCTGGACAACGCCAGGCAATTTAGCTAATATGAAATGTTCTTTACGAGCAGTTTTAATTGTCGTCTTTGTAATGTTTGACACTGTACCTAAGGGAAAGATTTGGTTTCCGGTTTGCTTGCTGAACATCCGGGCAACATACCCCAGTCTTGCCTTCCTCCAGACTACACTTCTTGCTGTCAAACAATCTAAACAAATATTTTCTAAATTAAAGATTAAGATTTTAATGGCGGAATATAAAAGTTTGGCATGTCTAATTTACGACGGTACCATTTAAACTTTTGTCTGATTACGAACGAAGATGATATGATCGTTTTTCTTTCCATTGTGGTTTCTCTTTAATTCTGAATTGCGGATCTGGTTTGATGAGACGAAGAAAGAAAATGATGAAAAATTGGTCTGGAGAATCGGAGACATACAGGGTGTCCCAATAAACATGGGAATTCAGTGACGAATTCGATATCGTCTTTTTAAATAATTCTAAGATTTAGTTTAGTGATACCTACTGAGAAAGCTGTAATCTGTAAGAGTTTCGTCTGCTATGTTCACATTTTTTTTGTTAATGTTTTGACTGCATACGGTTGTACTTAGTAAAACAAGAAAATTGCAGTATACAAACAGAGTAAACTTGTCCGTCTTCACTGTTCATGAGACATTATAGACACATCTTTACAGTCTTTTACCCTTTTCATAACATAAACTCTAGCAGAAATAATAATATTAAAGCTTTTGAAATTAGGTATTACAATGCTAATTCATAAAATTTTAATTTAATATTAAGACGATATCGAATTCGTCACTGTCGAATTCCCATGTTTTTGGGACACCCTGTATATGTGCTATCAGCTGTTTTTGGGACACTCTGTAGAAAATGAGTCAGATCGTCCCTAAAGTCTTATTCTTTGTAGGGAATCCTGTATTTTACTTTGAGATTTTTTAATCTTGATTATTTTTGAAAATTATTTCTTTGGAACATTAATTTGCAACTATATGGATAAGTTTTTACCCTAAATCTCGATATTGACCAACACACTGGGAGAACGGCTTGCAGGTGCATGCTTGTCGTCTTCAAACGATATTTTTAAATCATTCAATAAATTGTTTTCTCTGAGACTGGAATTTAAGAGATTTGTTTACTACGGTTAAATCACATGACCAAATCTATTAATTTAAATTAAATGTCAGGGTTTAAAAGTTGAATTTTAAAATAAACTATGCCATGATTTCTCTAGCGTAAGTAAATAAAAATTATGATCCATAAATTTTGTCACAAATCTAAGGAAAGTAAATTCCAATAAATATTCTGAATAAATAAAATGTCGTCTTCCCTGGTTCTTTCTCCGAGTATACTCGCATCAAATAGCAAAAAGCTGAAAAAGAAATAGTTTTAATAATCGCCATTTTAAAATTATCTATACATTTTTCTCATTTTGTTTTACCTAAACAGAAATATAGATTTCGCTTTCATTTTCCATATGTTTATATCTAAAATTAATTAGTTTAATTAATCGAAATTATAACGATATATATACGATGGTTTTGTTTAATATAATCAATTTCTAAATATGCCTGATAATATTACTATTTTGTGTGTAAAAAAAAGATTATTTAGTGTACATCTATATATAAATTTAGCTTGTCTGTCTTGGTGTTTGTTTGTCTGTTTGTTTGTATCCAGTAAACGTCAAAACGGCTGAACCGATCAAGCCCAAATTTGTTGTGGGACCTCACGTGACCCCAGGAAAGGTTTATGAATTTGGAAGCGCCCTAAAAGCCAAGTAGTTTTATATTTCAAGAACTGTTTTCATAAATAAAAGGATTTTATGACAATTATTACTCTAGAAAAATAATGCAGTTTAACCCAAAACTTCAGAGCCATCGAAATAGTTTATGAAATGTCGTCTTGACACTTTTTCAATGTGTTTTTTACTATTATATCTAATTCTAAGTAATTTTAGAAATAAAACAATAATATGAAATATGCGGCAACAGTTTTAAAGAGCTCAATATTCAATTAAAAAAACTAAATATCCGCAGAATTCCATTATCGATAGGTTTAGAAAACCACATTTTATAAATTCTTTTGGTATCTCTGAAGTTCTGGATTGAACTGTATGATGTGTGACACAAACTTGTGTGCAGAGTTTTGTGCATATTAAACTATTCATTTTCAGTTTGGGCACTTTTGATTTGATGATTAATGCTTGAATTAAATTTATGGCTTTAAAGTCTGCAAGAAAAATGTTTTCTCCTCATATTCAAAGTTCTAACGTGTGTGAAGTATTGCGGGATTTCGATTATTTGAAAAAATGTAAACAATACACTTCAGTCAAGCAAGCAACAATTTCAGATAGATCTTCAAATTTATTAAACTCCTCTAAATATATCCTTTCTTAACAAACATTATAAAAAATTAATGGCTATTAACGAAAACAAAGACTGGCTTTTAAGGGCAGTTTAAATTGCACCCCGCGACCGACGGTTTCTCGACGCTCTAGCACCCTCGCACGTGAAGCGATCCGACTGGCAAGCTTAAAGTGTCCTTTAGAAACTTTCAATTATATTATATAGTACAGAGGAAGTGCAACATTTTGTATCCAAAACCTTAAAAGTGCATAAAACATACATCGAAAACCAATATACCACGTTAAAGATTTACGATCCACACAAAAGTTCAAATCTTGGATCAATTTATTAAAGATGATTCTGCAATTTTTCTATAAATGAATAAAGGGGTTAATTAATTAGAAAAATCAAAAAACATTCACATACAGGGTGTCCCACGAAACATGAGTTAATAAATAGTCTAGAATGTCGTCTTCCAAATACTAGATTAGATTTAAAGACTTTTTGCAGTTTATTCGATAGCAAAATCTTTTGCTCCAATATATCTTAATCTGAGATCGATTTTACCAAAATAAAACTGCCATATAATGTTTATTATAATTTTATTTGGTATCAAACAACTTGAAAAATTATGGAAGAAGACATTTTAAAATATTCAGCAACTGTCATGTTTCGTGGGACACCCTGTAAGTAGCATTGATGGATTCATCTAAAACACATTTTTATTTTTCATAAGTACTCCTTTAAAAACGTAATTGAAAGGTCGTCTTCGCAAACCAACTTTTTTCAAATTAATATATTGCTGTCGTTTTATGTCAAATTTTAAAGTTTCAGGTTATAATTAAATTCTCATCCTTTTTCGGTAACCCTGTGGATCAAATTTAAATTAACATTCGGCATAACGATTTAAGATAGATAGTCAAGTGTAGGGTTTTAAGATAAATTCGATTTTACAAAATCTAACCTTTCATGGTTCTACCAGGTACCTTAGGTTGATAATTTACGAAGAGAACGAAATATTTGGTGTGTAGTGTGTACAGCCTAAAAAGATAATCGAGTATCTTAATTTTGCCCTTGAAAATTCTCATATAATAATTCTGTTTTCTCATTTTTCTAACAATTGCTCTTAAAAACACAATTGAAAAAATAAAACATATTGTCGGATTCTACATGTCATTGGCGGCAGACATACAGTGTTATTCTGCAAAGCTCGAAAAATGGTAGGATATCACGGGAAATTAGTATTGAAAATATTATCTTGAGCGTAAAACGATGAAAAATTATCAAAAATCATGTTTTTTTCTGGTACTTGTCATTTTTTTGATTAAAATATACAAGTTAGACAATAATACAAGTGTGTAAAATATCCCAACCTTACTGCAGAATCAGTCCCTGTGTTTAATTTCTTCAGTTTAGACCTTTCAATGATGTTTTTATGAACAATTGACAAAAAACCAGGATTAAGGAAGTATTTATACAGGGTGTCCCATAAACATGGGAATTCAGTGACGAATTGGAAATCGTCTTTGTTATGAATTAGCATTGTAATACCTAATTTCAAAAGCCAAAATATTATTATGTCTGGTAGAGTTTATTTTATGAAAAGGGTAAAACACTGTAAAGATGTGTTTATAATGTCTCCGCAAGATGTATACAGTGAAGACGGACAAGTTTACTCTGTTTATATGCTGCAATTTTCTTGTTTTACTCAGTACAATCGTATGAAGCCAAAACATAAGCAAACAAAATGTGAACATAACAGACGAAACTCTTCAGATTACAGCTTTCTCAGTAGGTATCACTATACTAAAAAGACGATATCGAATTCGTCACTGAATTCCCATGTTTATTGGGACACCCTGTAAAAGCAGACAAGGGCAAAACTAAGATACTCAATTATCTTTTTAGGCTGTACACCAAATAATTCGCTCTCTTTTTGAATCTGTTACCTAAGGAAAGGATTTGTACAATTGAATTTATCTTATCTTAGGGAACCAAGAATTTACGACACAATATGCAATATCTAAGCCATTGTTTATGATACAGTTGAAGATAATTAACTAAATATGTATTGTTGGTCTGGACTCTACAGTTGAAGATAATTAACTAAAAATGTATTGTTGGTCTGGACTCTACAGTTGAAGATGATTTACTAAAAATGTATTGTTGGTCTGGACTCTACAGTACAAGATAATTAACTAAAAATGTATTGTTGGTCTGGACTCTACTGTTGAAGATAATTAACTAAAAATGTATTGTTGGTCTCGACTCTACAGTTGAAGATAATTAACTAAAAATGTATTGTTGGTCTAGACTCTACAGTTGAAGATGATTAACTACAAATGTATTGTTGGTCTGGACTCTACAGTTGAAGATAATTAACTAAATATGTATGGTTGGTCTGGACTCTACAGTTGAAGATAATTAACTAAAAATGTATTGTTGGTCTGGACTCTACAGTTGAAGATGATTAACTAAATATGTATGGTTGGTCTGGACTCTACAGTTGAAGATAATTAACTAAATATGTATGGTTGGTCTGGACTCTACAGTTGAAGATAATTAACTAAAAATGTATTGTTGGTCTGGACTCTACAGTTAAAGATAATTTACTAAAAATGTATTGTTGGTCTGGACTCTACAGTTGAAGATGATTTACTAAAAATGTATTGTTGGTCTGGACTCTACAGTTGAAGATGATTTACTAAAAATGTATTGTTGGTCTGGACTCTACAGTTGAAGATAATTTACTAAAAATGTATTGTTAGTCTGGATTCTACAGTTGAAGATAATTAACTAAAATTGTATTGTTTGTCTGGACTCTACAGTAAAAGATAATTTACTAAAAATGTATTGTTGGTCTGGAATCTACAGTAAAAGATAATTTACTAAAAATGTATTGTTGGTCTGGACTCTACTGTTGAAGATAATTAACCAAAAATGTATTGTTGGTCTGGACTCTGCAGTTGAAGATGATTCACTAAGCAACAACTAGTTTAGAAACCAACCTTTTATAACATTTGCCAGCAGGTCTTTATCTTAACAGGGTGAAATAAATGTACGCGTATATAGGTCACATAGATACAAATGATCAACACTTTTTAAAATAGTTAAAGCTCCAGTTAAAAATGTTGATATACAGTTTTTATTATTAGAAAATGAAGCAGAAATTAATTGAAAAGTCTATTGTTGTATTAAAGCAGGTTTCTTGTATAACTGAGTGTGATTCCCCTTTAGTATAGAATAAGCAAGATACTAGTTAAGGAAGAGGGCAAACACCTTATATATATTTTTCTAAGATATTATCGGCACAATCTGCTTCAAAAGGGATTGGTCATGAATTTGAAGAGATACTTTTAATTTGAAAATTTTAGACTTGTTCTGATTTAAGGGAAATAATTATATTCAAAATTTAAAGGGACCGTTCACTTATTTTGGTAATTTCAGGGTAAACTAAACAGCCTATTCGCTCTTGATTGGTAATAGTCTTACTTTTCAAAGACAACTGTGGCCGGAGAAAAAGCCGATGTTTCGTTCAGAATTTGAGCGGAAAGAGGCGGTCCCTCTCTATAGACACTAATTGATGTTTTTCCAGTAACAGCAGCCCAACAACATTTAAATTTAGTATATTTTAATGTCATTATGTGTTCGTTATTATGTACTAAAATATAAAAACTTTTGATATTTGTGTTAGCAAGAAATTTACGTTTTTCGTAATAAAAAAAACTAAAATGTGTATACAAAGACGACGTCTCTACGACAATCAATTAATCATAACTCGTATTTGGTTCGTAGATTTTGTAGATTTTGTTCCCGTATGTGCACAACTTTTCATTTGTCATGCCGCGTTCAATTCAGCTTTTTACACAGGCAATGCACAATTTTGAATGCAATAAAATAGTGTTATTTTAGATATAGAAAGTTAAAAAAATAACAAAACAATTTAAAAATAATAAAATTTACAATTAACGATTAGATATTAAAGTTTAATTTTGTATTCGAAATTTATTTTGATTCACAACATACTGAAAAAAAACATCAATTAGTGTCTATAGAGAGGGACCGTCCCCTTCCGCTTAAATTCTGAACGAAAAATCGGCTTTTTATCCGGCCACAGTTGTCTTTGAAAAGTAAGGCTGTTTAGTTTACCCTGAAATTACCCAAATAAGTGAACGGTCCCTTTAAAAGGTTGAAATTAAACTGTTAAAATACGTTTATTTAAAGATCATGCAATAGATGCTGGAACTTTCTTCTTAGCAGAGATCTTGGTTGATCATTTACCTCGGGGCCTCATCTAACTCCAGGGTGAACTCAATGAGAAAAATTTCTTTTTTCTTAAAACTTTTGTTTTGTATGAGGTGGGATTTCTTCTTTTAAATACAATAAATGCACATAACTTCTAGATGATTAAAAATATAGCTTTTGCAGAAAAAAAACTGGTTTCTTGCCTTAAACCTAAATTATCAAATACTTTTATATTTGCAACTTGATGTTACAACCTCAGGCCACAAATATACTGGGATTAAAAAATTCAGAGTTTGAGTGTCCAGTTTTGTATAAAACAACCATCTGTTTAATTAAAGAAATATATCAAAAATAAATATTTTAAAAATGTTATCTAACAAAACAATGGAAATTACAAGAACGAGTTTAATTAGTAAAAACCTTAGAGCAATATAATGTTTGCAAATGTTTTAGAAAAATCAGTATTCAGACGTTTTAGCCAATTGATAAATTCACATCTATTAGATTTTTATATACTATTGTATGAGTGGTTGGCACAATTTTATTCAGTTACATGAAGAAAACATAAAAACAATCTTTTATAATTAATTTCCTGAAGGCTATACATTAAACTGAGTGACTTGAACATACAGGGTGACAGAATGAGACTATAACGACGACCTTAAAACTCTTTAAAGTAACAAATAATAAATAAAGTCTTTTTATGATTGGGCAAAGGAGAAAAAAAAGTTTTGAGTTGTTATGGAATCAGAAGTACACGAAACCAATTCATTTCCGTCTCTGAAGTCTCACCCTTTGTGGTTAACCCTGCACATAACAAAACAACTTATTACAATATTAATAATTTATCTTTTATAATAACAGTTTTCTATATTAAAGATGCTTTGTGTAATTGAAGAGTAAAAAATCTTGTTTAAACTTGTTGTAAAGCTGATTTTGAAGATAAGGAGATAGTCTTGATAGGTATTCTTCACTAGTCTTCTTAGATCCATATCTTGTTAATACAAGGGGATACAATAAACATATATATAGTTAATACAGGGGGATACAATAAACATATATCTAGTAAATACAGGGGGATAAAATAAACATATATATAGTTAATACAAGGGGATACAATAAACATATATCTAGTTAATACAGGGGGATACAATAAATATATATCTAGTTAATACAGGGGGATACAATAAACATATATATAGTTAATACAGGGGGATACAATAAACATATGTATAGTAAATACAGGGGGATACAATAATCATATATATAGTAAATACAGGGGGATACAATAAACATATATATAGTTAATACAGGGGGATACAATAAACATATATATATAGTAAATACAGGGGGATACAATAATCATATATATAGTAAATGCAGGGGGATACAATAAACATATATATAGTTAATACAGGGGGATACAATAAAAATGTGAATAGTTAATACAGGGGGATACAATAAACATATGTCTAGTTAATACAGAGGAATACAATAAACATATATATATAGTTAATACAGGGGGATACAATAAACATATATTTAGCTAATACAGGGGGATACAATAAACATATATATATAGTAAATACAGGGGGATACAATAAACATATATATATAGTTAATACAGGGGGATACAATAAACACATATCTAGTTAATACAGAGGAATACAATAAACATATATCTAGTTAATACAGGGGGATACAATAAACATATATCTAGTTAATACAGGGGGATACAATTAACATATATCTAGTTAATACAGGGGGATACAATAAACATATATCTAGTTAATACAGGGGGATACAATAAACATATATATAGTAAATACAAGGGGATACAATAAACATATATCTAGTTAATACAGGGGGATACAATAAACATATATATAGTAAATACAGGGGGATACAATAAACATATATATAGTAAATACAGGTGGATACAATAAACATATATATAGTAAATACAGGTGGATACAATAAACATATATATAGTAAATACAAGGGGATACAATAAACATATATCTAGTTAATATATATATAATATAAATGTTGTCTAAAATTGTTAGTTTTTTAATGTACGAAAAAATAGTTTCAGTTAAATAGCATTGAAAAAAATACCGAAAAGAGCACTAAAGGCAGTATTTTTATATTTAGAAACCTGTTCAGATGGTTGATATTAACGTTGATGTTAGTGTACTGCATAAACCAGTTCCAATCTCTTTCCAAGCTTTCTAGTTTCAGAATCCCAGAATATTTGATCTAAATCAAACTTTATAGAACAAATTATTTGAATCAAATACAAAAAACAGGTTTTGAATCACAGGTTCTAAATTCGAGTACAGACTTCAGATCACACAATTTATGAAAATAGGTACCTGACATGTAATACATTGTAACGAGTACAGGTACCTGACATGGAGTGGATTGTAAAGAGTACTGGTACCTGACATGGAGTAGATTGTAAAGAGTACAGGTACCTCACATGGAGTAGATTGTAAAGAGTACAGGTACCTCACATGGAGTGGATTGTAACGAGTACAGGTACCTGACATGGAGTGGATTGTAAAGAGTACAGGTACCTGACATGGAGTAGAGTGTAAAGAGTACAGGTACCTCACATGGAGTAAATTGTAAAGAGTACAGGAACCTGACAAGGAGTAGATTGTAAAATACTGGTACCTGACATGGAGTAGATTGTAAAGAGTACAGGTACCTCACATGGAGTACATTATAAAGAGTACGCGTACCTGACATGGAGTACATTGTAAAGAGTACGGGTACCTGACATGGAGTACATTGTAAAGAGTACGGGTACCTGACATGGGGTACATTGTAAAGAGTACGGGTACCTTGCATGGGGTACATTGTAAAGAGTACGAGTACCTGACATGGAGTACATTGTAAAGAGTACGGGTACCTGACATGGAGTACATTGTAAAGAGTACGGGTACCAGTGTGGGTCCAATTCATCTAATGGCGATTCCAAAACAAATCTAATAAATTGCAATTTTATGCAAATATAAATTGAATAAATTATTTGTTTTCAAATATGTAGAAGAGCAGTGGTAAGTTTAACACATATAGGTTAATGAATTAATTAAGGTTTCTAATATGTATTATCCAAGGATTATAACTTGTATTATCAAAGGTGTGTAATATGCATTATCTAAGGTGTGTAAGATGTTTTATCCAAGTTTGTATTATTCAAGGTTTGTAATATGTATTATCTAAGGTTTGCAATATGCATTATCCAAGGTTTGCAATATGCATTATCTAAGGTGTGTAATTTTTATTATCCAAGGTTTGTAATATGTATTATCCAAGGTTTGTAATATGTATTATTTAAGGTGTGTAATTTGTGTTATCCAAGGTTTGTAATATATATTATCTAAGGTGTGTAATTTGTATTATCCAAGGTTTGTAATATATATTATCCAAGGTGTGTAATATGTATTATCCAAGGTTTGTAATATATATTATCCAAGGTGTGTAATATGCATTACCTACGATGTGTAATATGTTTTATCCAAGTTTGTATTATCCAAGGTTTGCAATATGTATTATCCAAGGCGTGTAATATGTATTATCCAAGTTTGTATTATCAATGTGTGTAATATATATTATCCAAGTTTTGTAATATATATTATCCAAGGTTTGTAATATGTATTATCCAAGGTTTGTAATATGCATTATCCAAGGTTTGTAATATATATTATCCAAGGTTTGTAATATGTATTATCCAAGGTGTGTAATATACATTATCCAAGGTGTGTAATATATATTATCCAAGGTGTGTAATATACATTATCCAAGGTGTGTAATATACATTATCCAAGGTGTGTAATATACATTATCCAAGGTTTGTAATATATATTATCCAAGGTTTGTAATATATATTATCCAAGGTTTGTAATATGTATTATCCAAGGTTTGTAATATATATTATCCAAGGATTGTAATATGTATTATCCAAGGTTTGTAATATATATTATCCAAGGTTTGTAATATATATTATCCAAGGTTTGTAATATATATTATCCAAGGTTTGTAATATGTATTATCCAAGGTGCGTAATATTTATTATCCAAAGTGATAGTGTGTAATATATATTATCCAAGGTTCAAATTATATGAATTATTATAAACATAGAACTCAAACTTTCTAATAAAATAAGTTCTAGTATTTTTAAACAGAGTGGTATTTTTAAGAGTGTTTTGAGTCCATCTCGTCTCTCATACTCAATACTAAATCGTTGCAACATGATATTACAGACCTTTCAAACTATGAATTCTTCAAAATCTTATTTTGAAATATCAAGGTTACAACGACATTAAGTGTTAAGCAGTGTTGACAAACTATCTGTTAATTTTAAAATGTTTCTCCTATTTACTGTACGCTTTGCGTTTAATCATTACAATAACTTAAAAGGTCTAAGATTGCATAAAACTGTAAACTCCGGTTAATTTCAAGTACACGGCCGACTTTAAGCAGTTAGAGCAAGGTGTACAGTACACATACAGACTATATAAGACTATAAACGGGACAAAACACCAAATAAATCAATCAACTTCTTCTATAAAGATTCTAGTGATAATCGATACCTTACAAAATCTGAAAAGGATGCTGGCTTGTCAATCTTCGATTTCTCTTCTAATCGTTTTCTGATTCGGATGCCAGCGTAAGATCCAGGGTTTATGAATATCTTGTCCCTAGAACCAGATTTAATAAATAGAGAAAAGTAGTCGAACTGCACCGACTTCGTTCAACCACTTCTCATATAATTTTACGTAACGTAACCATTTAAAAAACTCAAAATGATTTTTTTTTTTCTGTTTTTTTACTTCTTTAAAAAGTGTAAAAAATGTAAAACAGTGAGAATCAGAAAATTGTGAAACAGAACTAGGACTGTTAGACTCAAGTTATCAATTGAAGTAATACGACGATCATGAAATCCAGCAATTGTGCACAGGCAGCCGTAGTACATTTGAATTTCCGATCCGGGTTAACCTTTCCGGTCCCAGTTTGTACTGCATCACACGGATATTGGTTTAATAAAGAAGACAATCAATAGGACTAGCCGGTGCAACAAGGTTGACACGGAAAGCCTTTATGCTTCATATAGGTTGAATTTACTTTTACTAAAGGGGCAGAGGTGCGTGTGTGCAGTGTAAACTACTAGTAAAACTATTTGCTGTAAAACAACATCAAATACACAAATCTTCCTATTCCACTGACTGTATCTAACTGTACCTGTAAGCTGAGATTAGTCTAGAGAATGGATGTCGGACCAGGAGAAATATTTTATCATTTTTTAGCATTCTGCAGATAAGTAATTAAATCAAGGTTTATTCAAGTCAGGGGTACACATGAGTCCTACGAAACGTGAGAAGGAACTGCTTTTTTGCCACAACCTCTGATTTTCTAAATACTACATATTTTTTACCCAATGTCGTAGACCTTAGATATTTTTCAACCTATAAATTCTGTATGTCAAATGATCTATGTAATATCAAAGGTTTACACCATCGGGTTGCAAAGATATAGGAATTTGAAAATAAGTATTCGTGGAAAGGCTTAAACTTCCATTAGTTTACCAAATATTTACGAGGATTCTCCTCTCCCTTGATCAATATTCCCTTAGCTTGTTACAAGATTAAGTTCTTTAAGTTTTTAAAATTTTAAATAAGGAATTAAGATTTAATTTTTCCTGTGAAATTCCTTTTCTGATCTCGGAGCAAGATGATGAGGTAACCTAAATATAGTGTTTAAAGGGACTGTATGGAGCAAGAGGATGAGGTAATCTAAATAAAGTGTTTAAAGGGACTGTACGGAGCAAGATGATGAGGTAATCTAAATAAAGTGTTTAAAGGGACTGTACGGAGCAAGATGATGAGGTAACCTAAATATAGTGTTTAAAGGGACTGTACGGAGCAAGATGATGAGGTAACCTAAATATAGTGTTTAAAGGGACTGTACGGAGCAAGATGATGAGGTAACCTAAATATAGTGTTTAAAGGGACTGTACGGTAGAAGATGATGAGGTAACCTAAATAAAGTGTTTAAAGGGACTGTACGGAGCAAGATGATGAGGTAACCTAAATAAAGTGTTTAAAGGGACTGTACCGTAGAAGATGATGAGGTAACCTAA